CCCAAAGATTTCACCACAATCTAACTGATTTTTAAAGTATTTATATATTCTTTGATAGTTCTATTTTTAATAATATGTTTGTTTTTACATCATTTTGTGTAAAGTATATTTTTACATGGAAAAATATAAGCAGTAGAACGCTTAAATGTTAATTTCACTTGTAATGCTTTACTACCATTACTTCTGCTTGATAAGAACTGCAGCAGCAATGACCCTGGAAAGGTTTTTTCTTTCATTCCTGACAAACAACAGGGGAATTAAAACTTACAGAGTCAGGAAAGGTAAGATGGTTTGGGGGAAACTGTCTTTGGGTAGAATAAATATGGGAATTTTAGGACGTGGGGTTGGAATCTTTATGCCTCTAGCTATGGTTGTGATTTGGGGTTTGTTACCAACCTCCTCGAACAATTGATTTTTCTTTTGTCCATTAGTTAAATGAGAGTAATTGAAGTATCTCCTTTAGAGGTGTTTCAGTACGATTAAGATTAGGTTTGTAAAGTTTTTTGTAGATTCTGTAGTTTAGGAATAACAACAGCCAATATTTATTGGGTTCTTTGTTCAGTGCATCATATTATGCACTTTATTTTTTTAATTTTATAAATATATATATATATTTACATCATTCTCCCTTTTTGTACAATGCATGCTTTCTTTCAGTTGTAGTCCCCACAAAATTCCCACTACCAGTTCACCTGTGCACCATCACCATAGGCCCTTGTGTAAGGATGCATTGCTTCCCCTCTTTTAATCCCTCTCCTTCCTGCTCCCCAGCAGTGTCTCTGATTTCTAGTTGCCTGTTACTTTTGTTTTTATTATAATTTTTCCCGATTCCTTATTCCCAGTTCCTATAAGTGAATTGATCCAATATTTTCCTTTTTCTTATTGGCTTATTTCACTGAGCATGATTCCTTCCAGCTCCATTCATGTTGCTGTAAATGGCATGGTTTTTTTTATTGCTGAATAATATTCCAATGTGTGTATAAATATATATATACTATATATATATATTTGTTGAAGCACTTGCAAATAGTGCTTCAACAAACATATGGGTTCAGGTTTCCTTTTGAATTAATGTTTTTGTGTCTTTTGGGTAGATCCTTAGGAGTGGAATTGCTGGGTCAAATGGAAGGTCCATTTTTAATAGTTTGAGGAACCTCCACACAGCTTTGCATAGTGGTTGGATCAGTTTGCATTCCGACCAGAAGTGTAAGAGAGTTCCTTTTTCTCCACATTCTTGTCAACATTTGTTTCCTGTTTTTTTTTTTTTAATATGTGCCATTCTCTCTGGTGTAAGGTGGTATCTCATTGTGGTTTTGATTTTCATGATTTCCCTCATTACAAGTGATGTTGAAAGTTTTTTTCATATACTTTTTGGCCATTTGCATTTCCTCTTTGGAGAAGTGTCTTTTTATATCTTCTGTCCATTGTTTGATTGGATTCTTTACTTTGTTTTTGTTGAATTATGTGAGCTTTTTGTAGATCTTTCTAATCAGCCCCTTATTAATAGTGTTAGGTGCAAAGATTTTCTCCAAGTCAGTAGGGTGTCTCTTTGTTTTGGTTAATGTCTCTTTTGCTGTATGGAAGTTTTTTAATTTGATGTAGTCCCAGCTGTTCATCTTTATTTTTACTTTTTTTGCGTCGGGGGATGTGTCTTTAAAGATCTTATTGAGATGTATGTGTTGTAGTGTTTTACCTATATTTTCTTCTATATATTTTATAGTTTCAGGTCTTTTTTTTTAATATTTATTTATTTATGCATACAGAACTGGGGTACAAGTCGGAGGTAAATGGGGTACCAGCCAGAGGTGCAGGGGCAGTGAGAAGATTCATCAGAGACAGAGTGGGGAGCAGAACAGGTAGACCGATGAGGTATACTGCTGAGGAGAGCAGCGGAGAGGTCTGTGGTGCCATGTGGGTCACTCCCCCAGGTGGGGATCAAACTTAGGCAGAAGCAGCTGCAGCTAGCTTTGCAGTACTGCACTTTAACCTGTTGTGCCACCAGGGAGAGCCCCAGTTTCAGGTCTTATGTACAAGGCTTTTATCCATTTGAGTTGGTTTTTTTTGCATAGTGTGAGGTAGTAGTCTAACTTCGTTTTTGTTTTTTGCATGTAGCAATCCAGTTTTCCAGCACAATTTATTGAACAAACTGCCCTTGTTCCATTGCATATTGTTGCACCCTTGTCAAAAATTAGTTGTCCATAAATATGTGAGTTTATTTCTAGGGTTTCTATTCAATTCCATTGTTCTGTGTGTCTGTTTTTGTTCCAGTACCATACAACTTTTATTATTATGGCTTGTAGTATAGTCTGAAGTCTGGGAGTGTGATGCCTCCGTTTGTCTTCATTTTGATCCAGGAGAGCTTTGGCTATTGTAGGTTTTTTGTACTATGCTCTTTTAATATGTCACTTCATTTAATTCCTTATATCATTAATGTTGTATGGTTATTACACTCTTCTGTAAGGAAAGAAGTTGCAACAGAGAGACTAGGAACCGGCCCAGAGCCTCAATTATCAAAGGTAGATCTATTTTAGAAGATATTGCTTGGGGAGAAATGTACTACAGGCTCTCTTACAACTTCATAGCTCACCATAATGCAAGTACATGCGAAGGGAGTACCTAGTGGTAACTTACTAAGGGTCTCTTTCTTTGCTGATTTGATGGCTAAATTATTATGGGTTTGGAGATATACAGGAAAACTCTGAGAGTTAGAGCTGTTAAAAATAGTTTATGTGGGGCCTCCCTGGCAGGTGTTAAAGTCTCAGTGCTATCAAGCAATCACCAGCTACTGCAGCATGAGTTCTGCCTGAGTTCTATCTCGGCCAGGGAACTGACCCACATGGCGCAGCAGACCTCTCCAGTCTTGCCTGCTGTTCCCTCAGGCCTGTGTATCTCAGTAGATCAGCCTGTTCTGCTCCCCACTCTTTCTCTGATACTCTCCCCTGCCACCACCCTACCCCCACCCCTGGTCTACACTTCAGTTCTTATATCCATAAATAAATAAAAATAAACATTTTTTGAGAAATAGTTTATATGGGTTTAAAATGTAGTGGTGTTATTCAGCTTTAAGCAATAATTTAGAAAAGGGAAAACCAGAAAGCCTTAAATAGCGGAAGACAGATTTTTCTTCTGAGATTGGAACATTAAGGGTGTATACATGTAGGGGAGTGAGTAGAACCATGACACAAAAGCTTCAGTGGAGTTGGTTTTAAAGAAAATATGTTGAGAGTATGTTTCTAAGGTGGCAGGCTCTTATCAGTTAATGGACACCTAGAAGGAGATGTTACAGAATTTTAGATTGTACCTGTCATCTAAACCTCTCTCTCTCCCTGCCACTTTCATCCCTTTTTAACCTTAGTGTCAGAAATCATGCTGTCACTAGAGAGCATATGTGAAACAAAACCTATTCATCTTTAATAAAAACATCAGCAGAATTCTCATGACTATACACAAAAAAAGGCATAATGGAACTAAACCAAAGTCAACAATAGACGATTAAGTAATGAAAGAAATGTAGCAGTTTTCACTGCTGTATGCTCCTGAGAATACACTGAAAGAAGTAGGGGTTGGAATGAAAGTTTAGCAATGATGTTATTACTTTCTTAATTTAATTATGGAATATATCAATAAATGAAGGTAGATTGATTTACCAAAATGTCTGCCATCTTCACCACCTAGCTCTATACACACTGGAAACAATATCCTGAAGGATGAGCGGATACTGCCTTTTTAAAAGGTCCTATCTTTGTACCACTAACAGTTTGAAAGTACTATGCTTTTGAGCTACATCTGTGTTGAGTTTGATTGCCCCAACCCCATTCCTACTAGTTTTTATTTTATTTTTTTAAAAAAGATTTATGCGGCCCTCCCTGCTGGCGCAGCGGGTTAAAGCACAGCACTGAGAATCTAAAGCCGCTTCCGCATGAGTTCGATTCCCGCCTGCCCCGGAGGTGACCACATGGCGCGGCAGACCTCTCCTGACCCGCCCGCTGCTCCCCTCGGCAGTGTACTTCGTCGATCTGCCTGTTCTGCTCCCCACTCTGTCTCTGGTGAAGCCTCTCACCGCCCCTGAGCCTCTGGCCTGTACCCCAGTTCTGTATGCACAAATAAATAAATCTTTAAAAAACAAAAACAAAAACAAAAAAAAAGATTTATGCATACAGAACTGGGGTACAGGCCAGAGGTATGGGGGGATGTGGGGGGTGAGAAGATTCACCAGAGACAGAGTGGGGACCAGCACAGACAGATAGACTGAAATACACTGCTGAGGGGAGCAGCAGGCGGGTCAGAAGATGTCTTCTGCGCCTTGTGCCCTGGCTGGGGATCAAACTCAAGTTGCAGTGGCTTTGGAGAGCTTCATAGTGCTTGCTGTGCTTTAACCCCTTGTACCACCAGGGAGGGTTTTAAAAACCTGAGTAATTTGATATATTTAATGGAATAGTGAAATCCATTTTCTTCAGAAATAATTGGTTAAAACAAAAGTAGGTAGAAAATAAATTTACTATCTAGAAGCTACTCTGGTTGGTTATGTTCTAGTGTGTCCCCTTTTTTTTAGGTGTAAGGAATATGTAGAGATAATTCCACTATCAAAGCTTGTATATAAATTTTCTAGCATAAGGACATTATGATGCTGCATGGTTTTGTTGTTCCAAATCAGCAAAATCAAGACTTATTAAAATGCAGACCTTCATGGAGGGCCTGTGAAATAATAAAATACATATTTATAATGTTCTTCAAAGTGTTATAAAAACGCTTTCACATACTGTGAAAGTGAAGCTTGAGCTGGCTTGCTGGATTTTATTTCTTCTTTTTCTTCGCAGATCTACGGTCCAGTTTTATTTCTAACTCATTTCTTTTCTGAAGTCATCACTTTAGTTAAGTAGGTGTGCTGTAATCTTTTGGTCCTTACTGTTGTACACTTCTGTGATGTTTAGGGCTGTGTTGCCAAAAATAGTTTTATGACTATAGAGAATTGTATTTTTAAAGTGCTTTGCTTATTTATTTCTTTTTTTTTTTCCCTTAGATCTGTTCTGAGGACCAAGATTCATTTGGGAGATGGTTACAGAATTGAACCATGGTAGGCAATGAAAGATACACATTAAAATTTTATGAAACATCTGTACTGAAGGGGAGTTACCTTTAGGTTGAAACTGACTGCTTGGGTGTACCTTGAAGAATTGTCAATCATCTACTACTAAAGTTTCATAGATCAAGAGGATTTTATTCTAACATTCTGACTTTAGAGGAACTTATGTATAGAAGACCTTGAGAAATGTTGGATCAGGTGGTTAAAGTATGCCATTAAGTATGCCATTAACCACCTTGAGATGGTTTCTTGAAAGAAAAAAAAAAAAAAGAGTTCTGAAACCAGATCCATTTGAGAAAACTGCAAACTAGATCCTGTGGAGTTAATTTCATAGTAATGTCTGCTCTTATTCATTGAATCATTGTTTGTAATAGTCAAATTAGAAACACCTTACATATTCATAGATAGAGTAGAATCATAGTCTACATATAAAGGAACGAACTAGATACCAATTTTCCAACACGGATCGATCTCTAGAACATTACTTTAGAAAAACATTGTAGAATTAGAAGGATGTAGTACATAAATTATATTTTCTTTAAAAACTACATGCTTTTACCAGTATACCTGTGCAGCATAAATACATTTGTGTGAAGTCAGAGGGGAGTCATACCAAGCAAGCAGTGATAGTTACTCAGAGTTACTGAGATTGGAGACAGTGATCAAAGGGTGCATCTTTGCCATATCTATTAGGTTTGAATTTTTTAGAAGGGAAATACTCTGTTATTTATAATAAAAATAAAATGCCTATTAAATGGTCAGAAAATTACTTCATTTTCCCTCACTGAAAGTAGCTACCCTGATAAGTTCCATTGATCTATTTATTGGTTCATTGTATACATGTTAGACTCGATTTTAAGCTCTGATACTGTAGACGAGAAAGAAACTTTTCATTATATTCAATTAAAATGAAATTATTTTTCATTCATTATAAAGGATAAATTATTGCTTATTATAAGGAGTAATATATACAGACTAGAGTCTTTGCAAATTCTCCAAGAGATAGGCCATTTGAGCTTATTTTTTGTCCAATGCTCTCTTGGAGAGCAACAGAGAGAGGTTTGGTCTTGGTACTTGAGCAGCTACTGAAGAGTTGAAAGCAGCAGCTAATGAGTGAAACATTATCATTCAAGTCAGACGTGCTAAAGGGAGCTTCTCTTTGTGTTCTGTGTCAGCAGTGTTCTTTGCCATTCCTTCAATCTGTTCACTGCTCTTGATTTTGACCACTTGAGGGCGGTGTTGATTGTATTTGGCTTTGCTAACTGCTGGGCATCAATTTTAAGTGATTTTTTGGTGTGAATATGTTTTCTTTTTAATCAAGGGTAATCCTAAAAAGGTTGTGTCTAGCTATCAAGTTTTCTGTTAGAACATTCACTTTAGTCCCTCAGTTTGCCTCATGTTGTAAAAGTCATTGCCTGAAAATAAAAGAATTCATCAACTGAAAGTATTCCTTTAAAATGGCTTCAGGCATATATATTGGCCCAAGTTTTCAAAGTGTGCCTTTCTCTATCTTATCCAAGTAAAAACAGGGAATAACCAACTCATTTACTTTATGCTTAAAAATATATTAATACAGGTTATGAGGGATTCAAAATTTAGTCACTAATGTTTATTGGTGCCCATAAACCACCGCCTTCCATACCTTGCTTTCTAAAATGGTGTTAACATGCAGTCATCTGCATAGCAATTGATGTAAGATGATTCTTCCACCAGAACACCAAGCAGAAGTCTGTGCAGTACAAGCTGTGTGAGTGCTGAGTAGGGTGAACTTCAAGAATGTGTCAGTAGCTGGGCAGCCCTGTAGATGGAGAGTCTGGTAGGTGTGATTACCTGAAAGGAAGGTCTGACCCCTCCTCTATGGCCCTGATCTCCGAGTCATGCTCTGCAGACTGGCAGTCACTCAGGATGTGTCACTCATTTGTGTGCTGCTGGGGGGAAGAGTCAGTCTTGTAGTCGGTGGTATCTTGGGGTGATTGAGGTGGGGGTTGGGAGCTGATATAGAAAGTAAAAGAAAACTTACAGATGAGAACTTGAGCACTAAACAGAAAATTTTGCCTTTTTGGTTTTGCTTAAAGCACAGGTAACCTCTAGCTTCAGTTCTCACACTAGCATTACTGTGGTGATTGGTTTTTCACTTCCTGGTACTTAATTATTGCAGGAGTATATGTGTCTCAATTTTAAAATATATGTTGACAGGTTTTCTTTAACTCACCAGTTGGCCCCTTTGCTTATCTGCTTACTGTCTCTCTGGTATAAACAATACTATTTTATGTGTAGAATTGATCATGAGGATGACCGAAATCAGTGGATTTGATGTTTGCTTATAGGTAAAGCTTAAGATTTTCTTTAGTAACAACTTTAGTAGCATTTTTGGTGCTTTGGTAAAGACTTAAGTCAGCCGTACTCTCAGTGTAAGATCACAGAAATGTTTTGAGGTATCATTTCTCCTCAGAACAAGAATGTGAGTGTGTCAGTTCTTCTACTTTGGCTTTCATACCATGAAAGACTTTGGAAACCTCTTTTGAGAGTGTTCTAAATCATGCATATTTCCTGTCTTCCAGGATTTCTCTCTAATCAAGCAGACAGTTCAGGAGACAGAGTTCAAGGATGAATGTTTACTGTGGCAGTGAGAGTGACAGACTGTTGCACCAGGAGGCCGGCTGTCTCATGGACGAAAACTCAGCTGCAGCCCAAGAAAAAGAAGCAAATAGCCTCGTTTCTTCTGGCCTTCAAAATCTTACTTATCCTCTAGGTTCCAGGAGTGATGGTATGGCAATCCGACCTTAATTTAGAGGGTTCTCTGCCACCTGATGGCCCATTCTACCCAGAAAACATAGATGTTCTTAGTGTAATGAAAGTATCCACTTAGTTGGCTTAGCTTGCATATCACAGTTATATAAAGCTGACCTTCACAATCTCTACTTTTTTTTAAAGGAAAAAAAAAGGATTTACTTATGCATACAGAACTGGAGTATAGGCCAGAGGTGCAGGGGTGATGAGAGGATTCACCAGAGACAGAGTGGAGAGCACAGCAGGCAGATGGATGGATTTCACTGATGAGGGAGCAACGGGTGAGACAGGAGAGGTCTGCTGCATCGGGCCAGGGATCGAACTGGGCACTGAAGCAGCTGCAGCTAGCTTGCAGTGCTGTGTCCTAACCGATTGCACTACAAGGGAGGGCCCACAATCTCTACTTATTTAAGCAGCTTAGCACATCTAACTGGTAAAATAGTGTAAAAAAAATAGTCATAGGCTTACAGTAGGATGACAGATTCAAATTCTGGCTCTGCCACTAATCAGCTGTAACCACGGATGAAATCCTTACTCTTCTTAAGTCCTGCTTTCTTAATCTGGAAGACAGAGCTAATAATAATCTTCCTGTTTCACAAGGCTGGAATTTTATTAAGTTAATGAATGTGAAACATCTTGATAAGTTGTTAGGTTCATTTAATAATAGTGTAATAAGAATTTTAGTGATAAACACAGCGGTGGCAATTGCAATTGCTTTTTATTGAGCACTCACTGTTCTAGTAACTTTACATATATTTTTTTAATAACAGGATTGAAATATAGCCATCATTTGTTTATGTATTATCTATGGCTGTTTTCCTGCTACAGTGGCAGAGACTAATCTACAAAGCCCAATATATGTGCTTTTATGGAAAGTTTGCCAATCCCTGCTTAGATTAATTTTCACCAAAATTATTATTCTGCTTTTACAGATGCAGAACTAAGGTTTTGAAAGCTTAGGTAACTTGCACTGGTTCATACTACTAGGAGTTGTAGGAATGGAATTTGAACCTATGCCTTTCTGACCAGGTAGTGATGTTAATTTATATATTTCGAAAGGTAGAAAAGGAGGGTGTGACTGCCATCTTAGAATATATCATTAGGGAGAATAAGCTACTTTTTCTGCTCACTTTTTTAAGAAGGTGGAAGAAACTCGAAGCACCCTCCAAGAGTCAGCCCATTCTAATGACTTACACTGCTGGGAAAAACCAAGTGTTAAGAACTGATTAAGTTAGGCACCTACTTTAAGAACAGCACTTTGAGTATAAAAATACGTTTTGTCAATAAAAGAGTTTCGTGCCTGTGGATTATATGGGAATGAGCTCTTGGTATGTGAACACAGGGACATACTGAAATTTATCAGAATCTGTAAAATGTGAACCCTAAACAGATTTTTGCTCTAGATTTTGGTTTCCTTTTTTTTTTTTTAGAAGTAGTGGAGAAAATTAAGTGTAGTCTAGTTAACAGTCAGTTAGGTTTATATCATAGGCAGTAATTGTGTTCAAGTATACACATTTGCATTGTTACTTCAATTTAAAAAAAAATTTTGATGTAAAATTCAATTGGGGGCCCTCCCTGGTGGCGCAGTGGGTTAAAGCACTGCACTAAGAAGCTGAAACCACTTCCGCATGAGTTCGATTCCCGCCTGCCCTCCGAGGTGACCACATGGCACGGCAGACCTCTCCTGGCCCACCCGCTGCTCCCCTCAGCAGTGTACTTTGTTGATCTGCCTGTTCTGCTCCCCACTCTGAATTCTGGTGAAGTCTTTCACCACCCCTGAGTCTCTGGCCTGTACCCCAGTTCTGTATGCACAAATAAATAAATATTTAAAAAAAAAATTCAATTGGGGTGGGAGCAAGAGAATGTCTTGCTGAATACTGTATTCATGACATTTCTTTCCAAAATGGTTTGAAGAAAATGTAGAAAAATATTAAAACTAAGCTTGCCAAATCCAGATGATGGTCTATATATAAATGATAATAACTGTGCTTTAGTAGGTTTGAAATTTTCACTAGAACAATTTTTCATATTAAAATATATTAGAACTAGCTCTTTTTTAAGCCTCTGGTTAGTTTTTTGTAAATATTTCCTCCTTATATATACATCCCAACTTTTAAGCCTGTTTTGCATAATATAGTAATGCACATTTTTACATACTCTCACATATTTTATTCAGTTGACAGTTAAGACAGTTCTGTGAGGTTGACAGAGTGAACATTTATTCTCATTTCCTTGGTGTTAAAATAGGTTAGAAAAACTAACATCACTTAAAAAAAATACCTCTCTGGTGGTATTAGAAAAGTTTAAGGTTCCATGAATGAATCCTGATCCATAGCCACTGGAAGCAAGATCTGCCTGTGAATATATAAGTGATGTTAAGATTTTTTTTTTTGAAGAATGTGGAAAAGAATAACTTTGACTTACAGAAGTATAGTTTCCTTAAATACAGGAAGTAAGTATCATTTAGAGGTAAAAGCGAAAACAAAAAGTAATCATCTCTATGAAACAGAACTAGAGGAAGCAAGAGATCGATGGTTTTCCTCAGAAATTATTCTGGTATTTTTTGGTTTGTTTTGTTTTTTACCATGTGTGTAAATTTACTTAAAATTTTGTAGAGGCATAACTGTCTTCATCCCTCCTTCATCCTTCATGCTCAAAAAATAAGCACAGGGAAAAATCTCAAGGGGATTTAATGAATTTCTGGTTTGAATTTTTTCCTTACTTGCTCTAGATAAGAGTTTTTGCCTGTGTTTGGCTTTTTTTTTAAATAAAAGATTTATTTATAATTTATGCATACAGAATTGGAGTGCAGGCTGAGGTGGTGGGGGGTAAAAGGATTCACCAGCAACAGAGTGGGAGCAGACGACAGAAGTACACTGCCGAGGGGAGCAGCGGGCGAGCCAGGAGAGGTCTGCCGCGCCATGCAGTCATCTCCTTGGTCAGGGACCGAACTCTGTGCTACAGTGGCTTCAGAGAGCTTCACAGTGTTGTGACACCAGGGAGGGCCTGGGTTTGTTTTTTGTTTTTGTTTTTTTTAATGTGTTTTGTTGAATAACAACAGAACTTAGTTTCCCCCAAATGCCTTTTGTTGTCAAGTTATTTTTGTTTGTCTTTATGATCTTTTAGACCTTTCACTTGACTACGCCTCTCAGCCAGCATATCTTCAGTTCCCTCACATAATGCCACTTCCTGAAGACTTCAAAGGCTCTTGCTTCCAGAGTGCGAATAAACGGAGCCATGAACCCTTTATTGCTCCAGAACGATTTGGAAATAGCACTGTGGGCTTTGGCAGTGGTGCTCATTCCCAGGCACCAGAGAAAGTGACACTTCTTGTAGATGGCACACGCTTTGTAGTGAATCCACAGATTTTCACTGCTCACCCGGATACAATGTTGGGAAGGTAATTAATGATTTCTTTCTAAATTCACTATGATCTCCAAATAGAAAGATTTGCTATTTATCTTGCATTAGATCTGAGAATTAAAAGCTTATTACTTATTCTTCTTATTGTAAGACAGGCAAAGCAAGCTGGTAAAACCTTATGTGTTGATTTTGGGGGGGACAAGAGGGACACACTTTATTACACAGTCAGTGTCATAGAATAGGCTCCCCTAAAAGGGAGCACAATCAGAACTATGGAAAGTAACCCACTAAATCTCATCCCCTAACCCTCTATAAAGTGACTGGAAAAATACAAGTCAACTACTTAATTTTTTATCCACAATTTGTACAACTTCACAAAAGTAATGTTTTCTGAGTTCCGCAGATCGAGCAGAAAGAAGTACTGAGATAATGTGAAGGTGAGATCTAAGTTAGGTGTTTTGTCTAAAAGCCTGCCCTACAAGCTAGTCGTGCGTGGCAGTAGATATTACGCTCTTTCTAATCCCTCACTTGCCAAGTGTTCTGAAACTGATTCTAGCTGGCTGTTTTGTTGTTTCATAATTGTGCTCCATTCTTCCTGTTCTCTGGGCTGTTTCATTTAGACAGAAGCTCCTCCTTTCATGGTCTTCTGTCTCTAGGAGAAGAGTTTAAGGGATAGAACATGCCTGCTCAGGAGATGCACTGCCCAGGAAAGACTCTGGGAGCCAGCAAACCTTTCTAGCCTACTACAGCCCCTAACATGAGGAAGGACAATTTGGATCAGAGGGAAATAACGTTACTTATATTTATGTGTATACAAACACACATTTGACTGCAAGCTTTTATTACTTAGAAGTAGATTTTATTTTATTTAAGGATCTAACTTTACTTAGGACTTTGAACTGAATTAGAAATCAGAATGCATCACATTAATTCACTGAATTCTAAGCCAAATTGAATCTACCTCTTTAAGTGTGTGATATTTGAATGTGTACATTATAAATGCCTGATAGACCATTATTAACCATAAGCAAATCAACATATTCTCAGATTTGAATTAAGATTAAACCAGAACATTAAGACATTTTCCAGACTGGCCCTATATATAAGTTGCCTGGACTTTTGGTTCTCACCACCACCATTACTGCACCCTGACCCGTCACTAAGGTGTTCTAAGTGCAGCCTGCCAGTTTAAGGTGCCTTGCCCTGAAAGTAGTGATCAAGGAAAGAAAGGCATTTCTGGGCAGTAGATTCTTGGGTCACGCTGCTTCTTTGACTCTAGGGGTGGATTTCCCCAGGAAGAGGAGAGTGTGAGTCTTTATTTAGATGTTTCATCAACTGTTGGCCAGGGTGACAGATTCTGAAACTTGAGATAGTTTACTCTATGTTTTGGCTATATACAGTACTCACTAGCCTAGTGACTGATTCACCAATTGGGCCACCAGCCACAAGAGAAACAACTTGAGAGACTGAATGGGATAATATAAATTCATGCCACTACTAGATAAACAATTTCGAGCTTGTTTAGGTTCTGCCAATGATAGGTGTGTGTATTGGGGGGCATACTTAGGCATTTTGTCCACTGTTTTGATCAATAGCCATCTTGGCTAGACTTCATCCAGAACATTCCAGAAACATTTTTTGAAAACTACTTTTATCAGGATGAATCTCTTATGAATGGTGCAGTGATTTGGAAAGCATATAGTATAAAGTTTTTTCAGAACTTTAAAAAACAGTGCAGGATGGAGGATACCAGTTGTGAAGAGTTGAACAGGGCTCCCGTCAGGATAAGGAAGGAAATAGCAGTGAGTTCCCATTGGGAACTCAGACTGGCTGAAGATAGCTGCCGGCCTTGTCTTTCGTGCTGGCTTTCCATTCCACGGCATTCATTCTCTCTTTCCTTCCTCCCTCTCTCTCACATATGCACACACACGCACGCACATACTTTTGCATGCACATGCAACAGTAGTAGTAAAAGTATGAGCCAGTTTCATTGGAAAGGATCTGAGAAAAGGGAGGAAGGTTGAGAGGGAATGAGAAAGGACAGCAAGACCTGCACCCTGTGCACTCATGACCCAGAGCAGGCTCACCTCTCTCAACTATGTCAAGCTGCTGATAAATCTAGTAACTTACCCTTCTTTTCTACTTGACCTGAAATTCCCATCACTGGAATTAAAGAACTTCCCATCCTTGAACTAAAGAACTTACCCAGGGCCTCCCTGGTGCTGCAGGGGTTAAGTCTCAGCACTATCAAGCTATCTGCAGCCACTACAGCATGGTTTGACCCGCAGCCAGGGAGCTGACCCACATGGCCAGCAAACCTCTCCTGTCTCACCCGCTGCTCCCCTCAGCAGTGCATTTCAGTCCATCTGCCTGTTCTGTTTCCCACTCTGTCTCTGGTGAATTTTCTCACCCCGGCCCCTCCACACACACACTTCTGGCCTACACCCCAGTTCTTATATACATAAATAAATAGAACTTCTTTTTTAATGACCTTTTTCCAGAGCCCACAATTAAAATGCATTAAGAAAGGGAACATACTAACATATCTGTACCTACTAATAGAGATTCATCTATCAGATTAGATATGGACAGATAAATGCTGATAAAGGAGGGGAAGGACTAGGAAAGGACAGGACCACAGACATATGTCTTCTGAGTTGCCTTGTGACTCCTGGGCAGTGGGGAGGGCTTGCAGGTGCAGTTTTACTTTGTTTGCTATCACCCAAGCTCACTACCAGGGAATCCTGAGCGCTTTCTGTCTCACCCTCTTCGCATTCAATGCTGAAAGCAATTGTCCTTTCCTGTCTGAAGAGAGTTTCCTAGTACTTGAAGAGATTTTAAGGGCCGAGAACTGTGTTTTTAACTTACACTATGAGAGAGTAGAATGGAGACTTCCAGAATGGGATCCAGAATGGAAAAATCTCATCTGTGAAGAATCCTGCTGGAGAATATAATGTTGTTGCCTGGGTATCTTTCAGGATGTTTGGACCAGGAAGAGAGTATAACTTCACAAGGCCCAATGAGAAGGGAGAGTATGAGATTGCCGAAGGAATCAGTGCAACTGTATTTCGAACGGTGCTGGTGTGTAGTAGCCTTTTTGTTCTACCCTCTTCCCCAGGGGCATGCGTAGTCACACGCCTTGAGTGTGCCATCGAACTGTGTCACTGAAGGTGTCTGTAGTTTCCATTTACTGCCTTCCCCTCTTTATTTCTGAATGTGGCTTGTAAGTTCTTCCTGTTTATATGAAGTCAGTCAGGTAGCAAATTGTGACTAAATACATACCAGTATAACCAGGAGCCACTTTGCCATCTAAGGAATCAACCCACTTGGTGATAGCCCTAGAAACACATCGACAGAATCAGGAAGACATCAGGGTTTGAAGAGGTAATTTTTTTGTCCTGTTCTCGGCTACATTTCTTCTTCCTAATCTGTTTATAGGATTATTACAAAACTGGTATCATCAATTGTCCTGATGGCATCTCTATCCCCGACCTTAGAGATACATGCGATTATCTCTGCATTAACTTTGACTTCAACACTATCCGGTGTCAAGATCTGAGTAAGTACAGGAGCAGCTGAACTTTGAAGTTGCTTGGAATTAACTGGTATTTTTTATTGCCAGGCAGAAATAGTTTCAGTAGTGTGTTGAAATTCCTCTGCAGACAGAGATGTAATACAAACACCCACTCTCTCTCGCTTCAAAGCACTCTGAGGAAGTAAACAAAGGAGACATGTAGTGGGTTCTAATTTTGCCTGACCCATGAGTCACTGAGCTGATTGCTCTCCCTTTGGGACCTTGGTGTCTTAACTCTAACAAATATCTGATCCTCAGATAGGAGAAAAAAAGGTTTACTAATGAAGTCAGACAGCATAAATTGGCTGGGTTCTTAGATCTACCTCAGAGACACTGAGTTCAGTTCCATGCAACTGCAGTAAAACAAACATCCCAATAAAGCAAGTCACATAAGTTTTTCGGTTTCCTAACGCCATAGAAATTATGTTTGTACCATACTGTAGTCTATTCAACGTGCAATACCACTATGTGTAAAATAGTAATAGTAATGTACACAATGAAATGTGACACAGCCACAAAGTGAGCACATACTCTTAGGAAAATGGACCTGATATTCGCTTGGCACAGGATTGCCACAAACCTGCAGTATGTGTCAGCAAAATAAAGCAGGTTATATCTGTAATTTATTATTAGTGTTCGCTAAGTGCTTTATACATGTGAATTTGCTTAAGTCTTCTAAAACTTAACTCTGAAAGATGGGCAATAATCTCATCAAATTAGCTTGTTCAAAGCTAAGCATAAAAGCTTAGACCTGATGTCTGACTACAAAATCCATGCTCTTGCACTGAGGCCTATAGTCATTAAAGAATTATTCTTGTTTTCTGGACTTCTGGTTTCTCTACTTGACCTAGTACACTCTTAGAGCAAATTCCTTTGTTTTGCCAAACTTCAGGTTATTCCTCTTTTGTGGGACTCTTAACTCCAGTTGGAATTCAGAGCATCTTCAGAAGTACTACAGAGTCATCCCCAAATGATGGTGTTCTCCTTCTTAGAGTCAATGTTTATGGTCTGACATTATATGTTCAACAAAACCTGAATTGGTCATATTCCTGAGGGACTATTAAACATGAGTAAATTGAAGAGTGATAGGTTGTGAAACATATCTAACAAAATCAGCTTAATATCACATTGAAGCCAAAACCATCTCTTTGCTTTTAGATGGGACATTTCACTGGACCTTTTCAATGATAACAGCCGTTACTTCCCCGTTTTCACCCTAGTACAGTGTGCATTTGGGGGAGTAGCGTGTTCATCTGTGTTTTCTCTCCAGGTGCTTTATTGCATGAACTGTCTAATGATGGTGCTCACAAGCAGTTTGATCACTACCTCGAAGAGCTGATCCTGCCCATCATGGTGGGCTGTGCCAAGAAAGGGGAGCGAGAGTGTCACATCGTCGTGCTGACCGATGAGGATTCTGTGGACTGGGATGAAGACCACCCCCCTCCCATGGGGGAGGAGTATTCCCAAAGTAGGGGCCCCCTGCATGGCTTAGATGCTTTCAGCAAAAACTGTGTTGCTCAGAGCAGTCACTGGATCCTAGAGCTAATGTTCACATCACCTCCAACCAGTGACAATGTGCACTCTCCCCCAGATGCCACACTCAGGTCTAGCACTTTCATATTGGCTAACAGTGGGTGTCGCTGCACTTCCCACTGCTGTGCCTGAGGTCTAGTACTGTAGTCAGTACTGAGGTAACGTAAATAATGGTGCCATCTCTCCATTTCATGTTTAAGTCCTTTTAAATTGGTAGTAATTCAAAATGCAAAATGTATAAAGGATATAATGAAAAATCTTGCTCTCCCTACCTCTTCTACCCAGTTTTCCTTCTCAGCTTGTATTAGTCCAGATACAGTCAGTGTGCAGACATAAGCAATTAATGTAATTTTCCTTTGTGTCCAAGCAATTTCCTTTTTTGACTGTATAATATTCTGCTGTATACCCGTGCCATTGTTGATTTAACCAGCCTCATTGATAGCCATTTAAGTAACAAATTATGATGCTGCTATGAATAATTTTTAAACAATCTTTTCCTACATCTCTATAAATTGAATTTCTCTATTAAAAGTTTTATGCTCTTACAATTTTGATAGATGTTGCCAAATTAGCCTCTCACAAAATATGACAGGTTTCCCGGATGCTTTCAGAACAATGTTTTACTTTTATTTTTGCTATTCTAACAGGTAAAAAGCAGCATCTCATTTGAGTTTTAATTTGCATTTCTCATTTCATGAATGAGGATGAACATCTTTTAATTTTTAAGAGCCATTTTAATCTCCTTTTCTGTGTTCTTTTTTGCCCACTTACAAAATTGAATTTTCTTTTACTCTTTATGACCACCCTTTTTATATGTAGTAAGGAAAATTAACTATAATGAGTTAGAATATTTTTCCCAGTTGATTGCCTTTTTCATTTGTTTATGCTGGTTTTGACTGTTTGTAGAAGTTCTGTTTTTTTTGTAGTCAAGTGTATTAATTCTTTTATGGCTTATACAGTTTTCATATTCAAAAAGGCATTCTCTACCCTGAAATTGTAACAGTTCTTCAGATGGCTTCTTTCCTATGATTGATTTTAATCTGGCATTAAATGCCGGATCACTGACCTGATCCCTTTAGTTCATCTCCTCCTCACAGAGGTTTACATGCCACGACTAATCCAGTCTTTATTTTTTTCCAGTTCTTTATAGCTCCAAACTCTATAGATTCTTCAAATATATTGAGAATCGGGATGTTGCTAAAACAGTGTTAAAGGAACGGGGCCTGAAAAACATTCGTATTGGAATTGAAGGTAAACACGTGTTTGCTTAATACTCAGCTCACATGGGCTAATGGAGGAGCTTGGCTCTGTGGCCACAGCTTATCGCCTTAAAACTCAGCTTCCAGAGAATCTAGAGAGTAGGCGTATGTGAAAACTACTTTTCCACCTAAGTTTAAAGGATTCCTAAATCTGTTTTTATTTGCCCTTAACATTTTCATTTTATTTCTAGTTGAAAATGCTTTAAGAGGAATATGTTCCGGGTTACTGCTTTATGATACAGAGCAACGAAGGCTAAGAACCCCGGTGGGTAAATGTAGCAAGCTCATGGGCTCACCAAGTGGGATTTAACCAAATCTCAGTGAGCTTCTTTCTGGGACCAAGAGGAGTCCTACTGTGAACTATAGCTTGGGGACTCAAAGCTTAAGATTATTCCACTACATACCTTTGAAGTCTGGATGTGTTCACCGAACTGCTGTAAATGGTCTTAAGCAGTGGCTTCCAACCTGTGGTCTCTTGGGAAAGGTCACAGAGACAGTTCTTAAAGGATATTGATGCCATCTTGGTCTCCCCTCATGGATCAGTAACTTGTGTCTTGCCACTTATGCTGTCTTGGTCTTGTTCACACACCTTCATTGTGTTTGACTTAGGTTGGGATTCAAAGTTAGAAGAAATTTTTGAGATCATCTACTAAACCTCCTTCCTTTCTGTCCCTCTCTTGTCTCTGGAAACCCCAGGGGGAGGATGATACGGGTAACTCCACTTGCACAGCAGCCCATCACATTGTTCACCATGACTTCACCTTCCAAGTATCTAATGGCAGTTAACTCTCCCCCTTTCGGCTTCTAGCTCTAGCTCATGAAACCACTCTTAAAGCTTCCTCCCTTTTCCACGTGACAACCTTTCACATTGGAATACTGAGACAACACCCCTGTTTTTTTCTCTTGGCTAAGTGTTCCACACTCCTCCCATGATCTCCCATACAGTGTGCCCACTAAACAGTCAAACTAGAAAGCGTTAGAACTAGAGGAGTGCCATAGCCGTCCCCTGGCCGAAGTTTTGCTCTGTAGTATTGCTAGCCATAATACAAAGGCCTCAGAAGGCAGACAGGATAGAATTTTTGTTACTTCCCTTCTAAGAACAAGAGCTGCCAACCTGAGTAGGGGAGAAATGAGTATGTCTCGGAGGACACAGGAACTAGTTCCCTGGTAGATTTTATGAAGTATTTGGAGTTGAGAAGAAATTGATGTAGTAAGGAAAGAGGAAGTATGGAAACCAGAAAGAGCAATTTCTGGATGGACTTTTCCTCTTTTTCAGGTTACCCCACCTGTAAAGAAAAAATAAAGAGGCGACCTGGTGGTCGGTCTGAAGTAATCTATAATTATGTGCAGCGCCCCTTTATCCAGATGTCGTGGGAAAAGGAAGAAGGAAAGAGTCGCCATGTGGATTTTCAGTGTGTTCGAAGCAAATCCCTCACTAATCTGGTAGCTGCTGGAGAAGATGTCTCAGAGGACCAGGAGATACTAATGCATCACCCACCTCAAGTGGATGAACTGGACAGGCTAAATGCCCCACTGTCTCAGATGGCTTCTAATGACATTCAGGATTAGAGCCGCTGTGGGTCCTCCCTTGGAGCTTCTTTCTGGGACATCCCCTGCCCGTCCTCCCATGGTTGTCTTGCCCTGAGTAGAAGACATGCTTCTCCCCTATCATCTTTCCCCTTTCTCCCATAAGTAATGTGTGTCCTTTGCTGTGCCTCTGGCACAGGGGGTAAAAAAGCATTCACTGGTGACTAAGCTACCAGCTTTGCAGCAGCCCTGGTAGCTTAAAAGTTTTGGTTGGGTCTGGTGCTGTTCACTGAATCTTTGTGTAACTGCAAAAGCAGGTAGGGAGGTCAGGACGCCTGATGCCTCATTCGGCAAAGCTGTCCTCATCCTTTATACTCTGTTCTTGGTTTTTGTTTTGTTTGTTTTATACAGGCAAATTACTTAACAGCAAAGGGACCAAATTTAAAAGGAGACAATCTCTATTACAAGCGGGCACTGATGGGATGCTCACTAGATATTAAAGAAGATGCCAGTCCTGGTAACTTCTATACCACATGGATTTTGGGGAGAACTGGGCTGTCATTCATAATATCTAAAAGGAAATTCTTAAGAGCTTAAAACTCAGTCCTTTTTTTTTTCTCTCTCTTTTTCATTAATGCAGTGAACAATCCAAAACCACAGATTACTGACAGGAGGACAAAGGCATAACAGTGTTTATGAAGCCTTTTTAGTGTCAAGGTTTTTGAGCCTAAACAAATTATTTGAAATGAACTCACTCTCAAGAACCGCCCCACCAAATCAGGCCCTTTTGACTACCCTGGCTATTAGGATATTTCACTTTTTGAAATAGTTCATCCGCTGTTCGCACGATGACTAAGAAAATGATACTCTTTGTCCCCAAGCAAGGGTGAGTTGGAGGGACAATGGTATCGTAATTTTAATCTGCCAGCTCTGTTCCAGAAGCATGTGTGTCACAGCTCTTGATCCCAGCCCCCCAGGACTGACCACCTCCCTTGGTGTCTCCATGTCTGTTAACAGTAGAGATGCATTTAGAGTCTAGAGCCTGAAGTGTGTGTCCTGGGAGTATCTCTCATTTTGTGGAAGAAGTTGTCCTTCCAAACATCTACCCAGTGTGCAGTCACCTCGGGTTCCTTAGGTGAGAACGATTGGCTTTCTTAAATTCCATCTAGGATTCTGTGGGGCACTGATTATTCCATTTTATGACCACCCTAGTTACAATCCTCCAGAGGTAAGATTCAGATGGGTGTTCTCCTTCCTGGCTTGAAGGACAGGAGAGTTCTTAGGGCGTGTTCTCTGCGTGTGCCCAGGATCAGTGGACACCAGGCTGTGTTCCTACTCAGAGTAGTAGCATGGGTTAGATGGAGACCCCCCTCGCCTAATCTTCTGATTACCCTTGGCATCCATTTGCAAGGCCATGGGCCAGGGTGTTAGGCTTTGGATTATTTTTGTAGCCAGAGTTTAATTTCTATGAAACTGACTCCTATTTGAGGTCAGTCTTGGCTTTGAACTTACTAGTACTGCAATACCCAGTAGTTGGCCAGCCCAGATAATTGTTTAATGGTGCTTTATGCTTTTCATTTTATTTCCATGCCATCACAGAGGAAACTTGAATGAATTGTCTGTATAGTCTGTATGTATAACTTGTTGTATAGTTTCTGTATTATTCACGTGTAAGTATAAATGTGTCACAACTAACACCTAAAATTAGCTAGTCATTGCTTAGGTAGAAAGCCACGTATGAAAAGTATGGCTTGTGCTTAATACTCTGTTATAGGTAAGTGATTAAATTCCTCAGGCTTGCAAGAACTAGGTCTTTTCCCCCACCAAAATTGGGTTAATGTGCTTTTGGCCCTAAACCCTGGGGTGTGAGTGAGCTGGAATCTGTGGCGGTAACTCCGCGTCACCAGGTGGTGGCACCCGAGGGAAAAGTTGGGCCCACAGGTCCTGTTGGAGGAAGAGGCAGGGTTTCTTCTGCAGCACAGCCTGGAGCTCAGCGTCACTGTCATCGTGCGGCCCCCCCAGCCACAGCTGCTCTGTGGCAGGGCCAGGACACTCTGCAGTGGCAGGACCTCAGTTCTCAAGAAGAGCTGGACTGTCATTTCCTTCAGAGTCAGTTACTGATCGGCCGGGCAAAGGAACTCAGGTTTGGTATTTTTTTCTCTAAGTGCCTAAATAAGTAAGCCGGGCAGTTTATACAGAAACATTTCTGTAAGAAAATGGTTTTGCTCAGATGTCTTAAATTCAGAGGCATGCCATCAATTCAAGATGAACCTGACCTTGAGATTTAGAATATGAGTTTGCATCATGTTATATATGATCAACTGGGAAACATCTACCATTGAAAGCTGGAGATAGGGCAAAGAGCACCAAAGCCTGGCAAGTGAGATTACTGAATGGTTAAGGTATTGAAAGATTAACAGCATAAAGGGTAGGGAAGAAAGTGATTGGGCTCACTGCAGAGTATGCAGCGGCTAATATTAAACCAAACTGAACAGTGCGAGATCTGAGGCGTACAGATCTATGAGGAACTGGAGCAGCCCAGGGAGAGTGGGTGTATTTGCAAATAAAGTTCCCATGGGTCCTTCTGTAAGTAAAAACAATCAGCACAGGCTTTAATTCAGACTGTCACAAAGTGAGACCTGGAGTCTGTCAGTTTTCAGTAGAAAGATGAGAATTTCGTATTCGATGCCACTTCTTGCCATCATTTTGAAATTAAAATGGGCATGGCAGGTTCAAAAAGCAAACCTAATGCCCTTGCTGGAGACAGAGCCACACTGACACCCTGGGCGGGATCCCCTGTGCAGGAGGACATTACATTTTCTCTTAAAGGCAAAATGTGTGTAGATTTTGCCTCTTTACTTTGTATTTACTTTTAATTGCACTTGTTCACCTACCAGTGTTTACGAAATCCTATATTTGGGATGCCTTTTCTATAATAAAATATTATCATTGTGTGTCCATGTTGTTTTCTGGCAGACACCTAGAAATGAACATTAAGGACTGAAAGGAGCACCCAAACTCCCTAGAACTGCATCCGCCGCCTCCTTCCTACGAGGGACCTGGTGTACACCATGAGCCTCCTTGGGCTTTGCTCTTCCAAGTTACAATTCACAGGTTCCAGAGCTCTTAATGATCTGTTTGAGTTCCTGTTGAACTTGGACTCAAGATCCTTTCAGTCCTCAAATGCAATTAAGTAGGATGCCATATACCCCAATTAGAAAGGTAAAAAGACCCCAAGACTTAAGTGTTCTGCTTTTGGGTTAAGGCAGGCAGGGAACCACGGCAGCAATGATAGGTGGTGATGGAGCAGGTAGAGTCTAGGGGGGCCCTTTGGGGCCTCTGCTCTAGAGACACTTGCTCATCCTTAGGGGGCTGACGTGGGCCCCACACTAGGCAGATGGCTTCTGGGCCCCTCAGCTCTCTTAGCCAGAAAGCTCAGTGGTACAATCTCAAGGGGGCCTAAAGCAAGCCTCCCCTCCGTAACAGACCTGCCTTTGTCAACACAGAGCTCATGAACACACCTGAAACCATGGTCTGTTGGCCTAGACAACACATACGGCTTTGCCACAGGGACACAGGCTACATACACAGTTCCTCTCTTCAAGGGGGTTCTTAACAATAATGGATAAGGCAGCTCTGTATAATTCAGATCACTCAGGCCCCCCCAAAGTGGAGTAGCCAATTTTTACTGAGTACAGAGTACACAAGAGGGTTTTAGAAGTGACACATGAACCAATTTGTGAAGGAGAAATACTAGTTTTGGATCCATAAATACAAGGGGAGGAAGGTATTCCTGGCCAATTCGACTGCATGAGCAAAGGTAATTGATTATCAGAGAGGAGGCTAGAGTAAGAAAGGACTGCTTTTGTTGACACAAGGGTGTTCAGTCTCCAACTGCTGGATTCCCTAAAAGATTTAAGGCAGAATGACAGCAGATGTGCAATATAATTTATTTGGCAACTGGGGGTATGCCAGGCTTGAAACCAGGGGCAAAGCAGTCAACTAAGCGGCCACTACAAGAAACCCAGCAAGGAATACTCAAGTTGCTAGAGTAGATGGCGGAGTCACCTAAGAAGTTTCTGGCTGTAGTAAAGACTATGGAGGCAAGGCAGTTTCATTTGTGAAAGCTTTAATTTGAGCTTTCCAGATGCTAACTGCTGCAGGCACTTAACTACATGGAGTCTAGAACTGGGGTTGTGAGGACAGGTGGGTGGTCAGAGGGACATGGAAGATTAGCACAAAAGTGGTAGTAAAGCAACAATATAAGGGTTTGCCTGAGTGGAGAGGGCAAGGGCGATGCTCTGAGGAACACCAGCACTCTAAGTAGTGGTGGAGGAACTACTGAGAAGTAGCCTTGGGTGGTAGCTTTGGGGGGGGGGGGGGAGGGGGGAAGGGCAGGGTGTCTTTTTAAAAAGCAGTCAGTAGTGAGTTGAGTGCAGCATGTTGACCAATAAGATAAGGACTGAAGAGAATCCAATGAATAAAGCAGGACAGGTGACCTGGGATATGCTTATGAGAATTAACCCTAACATGTTTCATACAGAATATGAACCTGTTCCATACAAGGAACAAAAGCCAGAGTGATGGGAGAGGGGAATGAAGCAACAAAAGCAACTGTAGAATATTCTTCATGTAGTATTTACTCATAGTTCCACACCTCAACTAGGACAAAACCAAATACCCACCACATCCCTGAAAGCCTGGGTGGTTCACTTTCCCCGTTACCAAGTTATCACTGCTTCTTAACACTGTCTCCAGGAAGGTTCCCTAGGCACACAGAATGGCCAGTTGGCTTATCGTTCACTGTGACAGTAACACTAGTGTAGAAATAGATGATGCTTCACTGCCAAACTGCTTAGTGGGTGGGACTCTTTTAAGTGCTCTGCCGCTTAAGCCACATGGGCTACAGCAACCAAGAACCTTTGGTATTGAGTTCTGTGTGTTGTGGACGCTTAAATGTTAAGCTGTTTTTCTCTGAAAATAGGCATGAGAAGCATTGTGGAGGCTATTTCTGAGTGAACGCTGGTCTTGACATTCCAAAGAAAGTGTACTACCTGGGAAAGTGCTGCATCAAACACCTTTTGGGTTACACAGAAGACCCAGGAGAGAGGGCAAGGTGAGCCAGGAAATGGGCTTTGCAAGGTTGACTCAGAGAAAACACTAGCAGTCCATGGCACAGAACCCTACTGGGCCATGGAGATGAGTTTTGAAATTAGTGATCTGCAGTTCAGCGCCTGATCATGAATACCGAAGGACCGCATTTGTATCTTTTCAGCGTAATTCTAAAAAGAGATACCGAAGCAAGCTGTGAATTAGAGGCTGCATGACATTAGTATTCTGTTTCATTTAAGTACACAGTACAGTTAACTAACTCCCTGAACAGGAGGAAAGAGCATTGCCTGTAACAGGGTCACTACTAAACCAGAAGTCCCCAGCGCATTTCTCGGGATGCAAGAGACTTGAAGACAGTACATGTTCTGCCCAAATCGATCTCCACCACCAGCAGTGCCCACCCTGGGTGGTCCTTGTCCTTTTGTGCCTTTCTGGGGCCCTCTTTCCCTGCCCCAAAAAAACCAGCTATGAAATGGGACACAACAGGACTCAAGTACTAAAAACATCTGGTGGACGGGGGCCTGAGAAATTCCATCCTGTAAGTTTGTGGGGTTCCTGGTCACCCCCAAGCTGGAGGAAAATGGGTTGGGCTGTATAAACTGCTGTACATACTCCACCGGTTTTCAGCACTTCGGTCAGCAAGTTGCAGGTTGCCTGGGCAGAGGGAGATTCAACTGCCCAGAAACAATGAATGAGGTGCAAACAGCCCGTGTCTGGTGGACACCGCTTCAGGTGACTCCTCAGGGTGCAAAAAGGCTGGTCCCGTCTCCCTGTGGCAGAAGGGGACTGGGAATAGAGACGCTGCTGAAGAGCTCCAGCGCTCGGCAGACGTCGGGGCTAAGAGAAGCCTCCAGCATTCTGCCTCTTGAAATCCAGAGCCACATTTGCTTTAAAACACATCACAGATTCACACTCCTGTTTTTACAGTTTATTCTAAAATTTCAAAGGTAAAAAGTGGGCATTTCCCCCTAAAACAAATCATCCCTGCCACTCCCAGCGAACAGCCTATCCCCACCGCTCCTGTTACTACTCTTCACGGGTGGTTTACTACACACTCTTGCAAAACGGACTGGGGCCAAGACCCCCAACTATTTGGTAATACAGAGAAACTACAAAGTTACACAAAAGAATCAGTGACTTTTCGCTAACAGACTATGAGCAAGATTAAGGGGCAAACAGGTGACCTTCATCCAAAATGAATACTTCCCTAATCGACCTTTTTTCCCTCTAAGACATTAAAACCCAAAGAAGTTTCACTTATGACTGTAACTTTGACATTCCATGTTTCTTTCCTGAATGGCTAAGCTAGGCCACACTTCCCTTTCAAAGCTGATCTTAACAATCTCAAGACTGGCAGAAATCTGTCTCCCAGGTGTAGCTTGGCCATGGCACTCTGCAGCTGGCAGAGTCACCACACAGAGACACGTGATGCTTAAATAGTTAACAGAATTTTAAAAAGTAATAATGTATTAACATAGAGCCTCCACATTTTCTGACAAATCCCTCTAAAGATCGTCACAGCTATGAAAAGAGAAGGCACTTTGTGCTAAAATTCAGAGGACCTCTCAAGACACTACAGCAGAGAGGCCAAGCCAGGCCAAGCTGCAGGCCACCCTTCACGTGGAGAGGAGCGTCCCCCAGGTAGGCATCTGCAAAGGAAATATGTGTACTCGTGATTACAAGGCAAAGTGGTTACTTAAAATTGGCAGAGAAGGAATACCAGGAGAGGAGACAAAACACCAGGACTGAGGCGTGAACTTTACAGGATGTGTCAACTGGTTCTGTATGGCCTATTGGTTTAGTTCCTTCACCACTTCCAAGAAGGTTCTGGAGAGCTCGCAGGAGCAGGAACAGCACCATAACAAGAGGGTTCCAGGCCCCTGCCTCCACATACGCTCTCCGTGCTATGTTCCCAGGATACACAGTTCCTGTTGGCAGCACTGGCGGGTATTGCTGGTCCATGGCAACATCTGTCTTTAAGGATTTTCTGATACAGCTGTGATGAGAAAGGATTTTCCACATGATCTGGGATTCCTTGGCAATGCCCAGTCGCTTCTGGGCCTTCTAAAAGCCACAAAAGATCAAGCTGGTATCCCCACCCCTCAGCACTCAGAAAAGCAGCGTAAGGAGTTTCGATGAGCAAGAGGGAAAACAAACCAAAAGTTTGAGGGTCTTTATCCTAGTACCATAAATAAAGTGCACCGTGAATGGAGGCCGTTAAAAGCCATTCGCCGAAGGCCGAGGTATGGGGAGAAACTACCATTGCCACCCCTCAGAAGACGGCGGAGCAGTTCCTTCAGCCAAAATGCTGGCTGCTGAGGCTTTCATTATTGCTTTATTTCTTTAGGACTAAGGGAGTTTCAGCTGTAAAGAAAAAGAAAAAAAAAAAAATACTTGGTGGGCTTGGCAGAAAGCATGTCAAAAAAATAAATCACAGGAATTGGCTGACATTTGCTGAGTACATGTTCCAATCTCAATAATGCTGGATGATGGCTGTTTACTCCCCTTCGTTCTGATGAACTTAGGAAAACTCAAAGTGTTTGTCAAATAGCTATCAAATTGGCTCATGAAGCTTCTCAAGAAGCAGGGTAGCTTTTTATGGCCGATGTATTAGAAACGATTGTCTTTGTTAAGTTTCCAGATGCACTGTGGAAGAGGATCCACTCACTGTCACATCTCAGGAGATTTTACCATGACATACTGGTGGGTTACATAAAGTTCTCCAAAGGTCTTTTTAAAAAATGTGTGAGGAAAGCCATGATGTTGTACCAAGAACTCTGTGTCATCTAGGGTTCCACTTCAAGGGCACTACTTTGCTGCTTTCATGTAGGACGGTATCGCCCCCCGCGCGGTCAGGCCCTCAAAGCGTTTGTATGTGTAATTGATGAAGACCCAGTCCTTGTTCTTGTAGTCAGTCTCAGGGTGGTTACTTGTGGCCGCTGGGAAAGAAATAAATGTGAGATTTGATTCATTTTCTCCCCTGATGGACCACTCTGTCCTGAGGACAGGAAGAACACACCACAGTTTCTACTTGGCAAAGGTTCTTTTTCACTCTGAGTTCTCTACATGTGTTGGCCTATATTCTTTGCACCTTGAGTTTTTCACAAATGTTTTTATAGTTTTATTTTTCCCTTTCTGTCACTGCCCTAACCTTTAATAAATAACAACACAAAAAGAGACCTTTGAAATTTACCAACCCAGCTGAACAATCCAAGCATGGGCGTTTGTGTTCATTTTCCATTCGACAAGGTCTCACTGCTTCCCAGAATAGCAGTGGAAAAATACTTACAAAGAACCTGAAGAACTGAAGTTCCTCTCCATGTCCTCCACCCTGATTTGTAAACATCACCCCCAAATTGGAGGAAAAAAAATGCAGTGCTAAGGCAGCAAGAGGCAGTATTGGTGGTAGTACCTGTTGGCTTAAGAATATCAGATTCTGGAAACTCATCGAAGTTTGAGGTATCATCAATGCTTTTGATTTCAATAGATATTGCAGCAGGTCTCTCTCTGCCAAGAACAGACATGCCAAAAATTAGTAATCACAGGGATCAACATTCGTCAAGTCTCTCTCCAACAAAGACTCTGGTTTGACAAGGAAAGACTGGTCGCTGACAGGCAGCATTTATTTTCTCTGAAAAGTTGTGACCGCTGAACAACCAACTCAACTGACAGCATCCAAACAACAAATTATTATGAAAAAATACAACTGTTCACAGCTAGGAAGACAAGAAAAACAATCCAAAGTTAGCACACTCCCCCTAACAGCCTAGCCTGGCTGCTCAAAAGAGAATTGGCCCTCTGTCCTTCTACCGGAGGTGCCAACGACAAAGTGGCTAGAAAGGTGGCAAAAAAGAGGCAAAAGTGAGAATACAAAGATGCAACACACAGAGATAAAACAGATGACAATATCTTCGCCTTCTGTTCAGCAGCCAAGAGGATGTGGCATAAGGCCTGGGAGCGCAGCAGTCGGGCAGGCTCTCCACGAAGCACTGCACAAGCCACCGCCAAGGCGCCTCTTCCCCTCCACCCCCCGCACATCCCACCGACCCTTCCTCTACTGCTTTCTCCCCCTCTGTCTCTTGGTGAGAGTCCTTGTTCTGTGGGCAGGTCAGTCCTGCCCACACCAGAGAGGGTGGTGTTCTGGGTAAAAGCAAGGACGACAGGCCTGTTCGATGCTCCCACAGCTCACTGTGCTCTCTGGATGACTGCTAGATTCAACACTCCCCATGGCGCGGAGCTCACACAATCCCAGACCCCAATCCACACTGTGAATGAAAATCAGGAAAAGGCCCCAAATTCTAAGTAGCTCTCTAACCTTACTTGGCTTGCTGATAATGGCGTTTCCAAATTAGTACTGCAACTAGTATTGGAACAGATTTCCTGCAATAATCCTGAAAGCTTTTATATGGATATACCTGATATGCTCCCAGTCAACACCTTCAAAAAAAGAATTACTTTTGATTTCCTCAACTCCAGGGGCTCCAATTCTATGTTCCCATTCACAGCAGAATCTGGAAAAGACAGAGGATTTTCAGCACACCTCAAGCAGTCTCTTCAGAAAAAGAGAAGGAATAATCTCCCGTCTCCTTTTTTTAGAGAGGAATGGGAGGAAGCAGGGGCAGATCCAGAAAATAACAAAAAGTTAAAAAAAAATGGATTCATTCATGTCAGAAAGCCTAGGTGGGGGAAGGAGGAGGTGTTCTCTGAATGATACCTCAAAATTAGATCCTTGGCTTTCTCAGAGATAGGAACTTCTGGAGGAAATGTCAAGGTTTCTTTCCAGTTCATCACCTTCTTATATGTCTCTTGAGGAGTCTCAGAACAGAATGGCGGGTAGCCTGTAATACAAAAGGCACTTCGGAGCTTTCTCACCCTACAACTCGGAGCCTGAAGGAGCTTATTCACCTCAGTATGATTCTATATATCTTTAATGACCCAATACATACTTCCCCCCCTAGGACGAGGCCAAGATTTCCACTCATCCCAGAAAACATCTAGACCAAGTTTTCATTTTCTCCCAGGCTCTGCACCTAAAGTGAAGTTGTGCTTCAGGCACTACAAGGAACGCAGCTGAATGTTAAAGCTGAGAAAAGAAAGGAAACATAAGCAGAACAGAGGATGTGCCCAAAGCAGAAATGAAAGAATGAAGCTTGCAAGGATGTAACTGGAGAGATCTTCATATGAGAAAAGTCGCAAACAAGTTGAATGAGGAAAAGGCAAGCTTTACAAATGACCGCCATGCCTCTTGCTGAGAACTAAAGAACAACTAGAGAAAGGAGAAGGCCGACACCCTCACACTGCAGGACGCCACTGCAGGACGCCACGTGCCTTCTGCGCAGGCACCGGCCTCCGCGGCAGCCTCCCAGGGTTCCTGAGGACGCCTCGGCCAGGCAGGCACCACAGCAGTCACTCAGGACCACCACAGGCACACTCGCTCTCCCAGTAATCACAGGCACAGGCCCCCAGGTATCCCCTGAACACAAAGACATACCCTCCAGGGCAAAAGCTAGGAGGGCTCCTTGCTTTGAGAGCTTTGAGAAAGGAAGGGGACAGCCACTCAGAAATGAACAGTGCACGTGGCAATGCTGGGTTAAAGCTCTCTACATGCAAAGGCTGTTGAATAAACGCCAGTGACTGAAAGAGCTGTTAGATGGAGAGGGCGAAAGAACAGAAGGGCACACATGGTAAATGCCAGAGAGTGGGATCACAGTGGGGTACATCTCACGGCTAGCAGCCTTCCACTGAGGAAGCCTGACTTGAACGACAGAGGGGGAATGTTTAAGGTCACCCCAATCGGATCAATCTACTATCAATGTAGGAATGGTTCCTGGCCGCACAGCACAGTCCTCAGAAAACATGCGACTTACCGATAAGCATCTCATACATGATCACCCCAAGCGACCACCAGTCACAGAGCTTGTTGTACCCGGTCTGCATGAACACCTCGGGAGCAATGTAGTCAGGAGTGCCTACTGTGGAGAAGGCCTGAAAACGTACCACAAGTCAGGGAGGCCCAGCAAGGAGAAGGGTGCCCAGAGTTGGGTGCCGGAGGCCAGAGCCTGTGGGCACCACCTAGTGCTCCCCCCCGAGCCAAGTAAGTAGCCCAGAAGCTGAATGGCAAGTCTGATTAGCCAGCGCACTTCAGAATGAATAACGTTTTGTCAGTGAGAGAACCTTCCTAAGTAGGCCAAAGTCCCTAACTCACAAGGCCAAAGGTATCTCTGTCCTAACAACTAATGCCCTACTCTGCTGAACACCCTAAGTATTGGGCTCTGTACTTCTTTATTTAATCCTGAAAAAATTCAGCAGAGGACTTTATTAGCCCAATTTATACCAATCTAAACAGCTTTGCCCAAGATCTCAGAACTAGTTAAGGGGAATCCAGTCTCAAAATTAAATATCTTGCTCCATCATCCTACTTTCCATCATATTTATGCTTTAAGGAAATCAAAGTTTTATTATCAAAAGAAAATTATCCCCTATATATCAAGAATTATAAATGTCTAAATTACCAAAGTTAACCAATTATGTAGATTGTACTTAGAGGAGTATTTCTGAAACTTAAGGAACTATCTTGTATCCCAGGATTGCAGCAATAGGGAAGTACAAGGTCCTCACTGTGCTCGGAAATGTGAGGGTTTACTATACAGAAGGCTCTAATCTAAAAGTCGTAACTTTCAAAATCAAAAATTATAGTTGTATTGTCTTTTAAAAATATTTATTATGAAATATTACAAATATATAGGGAACAAAGCACAGACAGACACTACAATACATGTGAACCCAGTACTCACATTAAATATAGGTTAATAATCTGCTACACTTGTCTCAGTTGGTGCATTTTTTAAAAGAAATGAACAACAGATCCTTATTTGCATCATTCACTCCCTCCCCACTGACTTTGTTGTGCTATACTTATAGAAATATTTGTGGAAATGACATCTTCTTATATATTAATGAAGGGTTTCACAGTACATGCCACATTATTCCACAATATTACAGATTGATTTTCTAATTCAACATTATGGTTTTCAGATTTATTCCTGTAGCTCCAGCCGACTCATTTCACTGCTGGATACTCACTGCTGGATACTATCACTTATACAAACGCCACAATGTTTCTTAGTCATTCACCTGTAAATGTACACTGACATTGCTTCCAATGCTTTACTGTGACAAATAACAACTGAATAAATATTTCTGTACCATTGCTTGGGCACGGGGGCAAATATTTCCCAAGTCTATAGGGAAGTCGTATCTCTGGGTCGTGAGTTATAAACCTGTTCAATTTAATTGGATCTCTGCCACGTGTTCTCCCAAGTGGTAAATGTACTTAAACACCCTCAGTAGGAAGGAGCTTCTGGTGTTCCACATGTCACCAATTTTTGTTTTCAATTTATACCAATTTAAGGAATATGAAATAGAATCTTGCTGTTGTTTTACTTTGTAGTTCTCTTATTTCTAGTAAGGTTGAGGACATGTTCATAAGCTAGCCACCTGGATCTTTTTTCCTGTCAATTTCTGCTCTGGTGCTTTGCCATTATTTTTAAGCCATGTCTTTTTTCTTTTTGACTTATGAAGGCAGGATATTAATCCTGGTTGATCTTTTATAGTTTTATATATTACCAATGTCTTCTCCTAGCCTGATGCTTTATCATTTTTATTATGGTTTTTAAAATAATGTCAGTCACAAACCAAAAATATGTAATCATCAGATAATGAAGCATAGTAAAAATAAATACCCATGAGTTCAACTGAAGAATCAAGTTATCAGCAGTTCTCAAACCAAACATGTACTCCAAGTGCCCATGCTCAAATTTATATTCACCATTCCTCTGCTTTCATTTTATTTTTTCAGTTTAATAGCTTTATTTGATAGTCAGGATTTGGTTCTCATCCATGTTGACTGTAAATTTTTGAAAGCTGTGATGGGTACTTAGGTAACCGGTACAGAGAGCCAGCTCAATGACTCCATCCTCACTCAGGAAACAGCACGTGGCCCTGAGGGACAGGCCTCCTACGTGACCCACACAGCCTCGCTGGGCCGCTGTCTGTGAGCACAGTGGCATCCCTGTTCCTCATCGTGCATTCCCGCGTCTCCCCTAGTGCTGGGCCTGACGTCCACTCTGTGGACGTGCTGTAACAGGGTGGTCCCTAGGAAAAGGGGAAGTTCCAGGTTCCCTGCCCCACCCAAGAGGAGGGTGGAGCTGAGCAGAGAAAAAGGAGAGAGAAGAAAAGAAGGAAAAGAGAAGAAAGGCTGGACGGAGAAAAGAAGGAGACCTGAGGAAGCCACACGGAGCAGCAAGCATGTGATGAAGAAACTGGGCTTGTTTCCTGACGGTTAAGGCAGATGTGGGTGAGATACCTGTAGGGAGGTGACTATGGCAGACTTCCTCCCAGACTTGTCTGGCCATTTCTGACCCTTTTCATGGGTCCCGGCCAGAAGGTGCTTTAGTCTTGTGGCAGGCTTTCAGGCCTTGCTCTGAGCTGACTTTTACCCACAAGGGGATGGGTAACTTCAGGTATTTGATTTAGAAGTTCTATTCTTTGTGTTCCGTATTGTATACTCACTGTATTAAAGTCCCTGTTCATTGAAGTTTTACATGTTTTTTCTTGTTGCGGCAGATGGCAGAACCCGCTTAGAGCAGGCAGGTTTGGGGCTTCAGGGGTGTCCCTTTCTCCCTGTCCTGTAACAGATTGTGTCCTGTAACAGATTTGCTGTCCTGTAACAGTGCCAGTGAGTGGCGTGGGGAGATCCCTGGGCTCGGCCTTGGTGGCGGCAGGTCAGCCTGCTTTGGGGACACCCAGGTGCCAGGCCCAAACAAGAAAGGAAGGGCCTGTGGGAGAGCGCATGTGCTCTTGGAGAAAAATCCAATCATGTCGCATCTCTAAATGAGATCTCTTTGAGCTTTGTTAAAACAGTATCATTCTACACGCAGTCTTCAAATTATTTGGATTTTGCTCTTAACATTTTGTTTATAAAACTGATCCATGATGCCACATGTCACTGTATTTTCAATGCTGTAAACTATTCTATTCCAGAATATACCTAGATTCCTGTGGCTGGACACTGAGTTATTTCAGTTTGTTGCTACTACAAAAACAAAAAAACCGCAAGAAACCTGTTTTATACATGACTCCTGATTCACATAAAAGCTTCTTCAAGGCACAGGTCTAAGGCTAGAATTGCTGGATTTAGGGTATGCACATGAGCTGTCTGATAACTTCAAAGTAACTGAGCCATGTGTATTACCCTCTCATTTGTTTACATCGTCCATTATCCAGATGCTGGATTTTGTCCTTTAAAGTAGGAAATAATTAAAATTTTCCCTTATGACTTAAAGAACTCCTCCTTACTTCAAAGTCATAAAGATATTGCCTTATCTTTTCTTCTAAAATTTTTAAAGTTTTGTGTTCCATCTTGAATTTATTATTCTGTGCAGCAGTACAGGGTAGGAATGCATTGTTTCCATATGGATCACTGGACATTGTACACATAGTAATAACATACATGCCAGTTTTGTAAGCTCTAAAGCCTGAAACATGGGTAGGTCCCTCCCCGAGAAGCAGAGGTGCTTTCATTCTATTACAACTGCACCAGGGAAGAAACCACAGAAACTCTTCCATTTCAGAACAAGATTTATTCCAGCAAAGCTGAATGTTGGGTAAGCCTTACTTGTTAAAACCAGAGACCTATTGCTACAGGAAAATAATTAATCTTAAGATACTAAGGTGTTTGAAACTCTGAGAACTGTAAGACGTAGCCAGCTATAGGCTCAAGCCTCTGAGAGAAAGTAATGTTCTCATTCTGGAAACTGGGATCCCCGTATGAGCTCACTCTCATTACACCACACTGGTGACGCTAGGTAGCAGCTATTTCCAAACCGGACTGGACCCTGCCCAGACCTCTGTATTGTATCCTGCTGTATTGTATCCTATCCCAGGTGTCCTCCAGCTCCAAGCTCTTTAATAACTCCAATCTACACCCTTCTTTTTCCTTATGTTATTGGGGGATTTATAGTACTTATTAAGATCTTCTCTTTAAAAGAATTTTGTTGGCTATTAACATCATTTCCAACCTTATGATTCCATTTTAGGAATTCAGGGGAAATAAAGCAACTTAATTTCTTCTTCTGTAAATTTAACACTAAAAAAAGTAAATAAAATGACAAAGATGGCTACCTAGATGTACTTCATCTCTTAACTCTGTGGTTTAGTAATTTAAAGCTGACTCATACCTATTTCCTAACCAGTTACTGGTGCCTAAGATTACCCAAGACCACACAGCTATTTAAAGCATTACAATATGATTTAAGCAGCCAACAAGTGAAACTAAAGTCTACTTTTTTTGCTGATTTGAGAAGTAATATGTTGGTCAACGATTATATACATTAGTCTTAACCTAGAGCGGTACATTTCTATTAAACATTAACTAATATTAACCTTCAGTTTGGTTACAAGACAAATGAGGTTTTGAACTCTAAGGTAAAAAAGTGTGAGACTGAACTTTTGAAGATTGAGAGGTGGCATCGTCCTCTTCAGATTATCAAAAGTGGTAGTATGTGGATGATCTTAGTACTTTTCTAATTCTACTACAGATAAAAAGGAAAAAACCTTAATCACAGAGTGAGGGTCTTAGTTTATACAGATTAAAAAAAAATTTAAATACTAACATTGTAAAATCGCCTTTCTTATAGAACTTAAAGTTCTGTAAGTTCTACTGAATATGAAATGACCTTTTAGTATGTGTCAGAGTATAAAGCTTGTTTTTTTAGGATAATTTAGGTCATTTAAGCCTAACCACCTCCAAAAAAAATATAGTATAGAAGCCAAAGGTTGAATCTTGGTTTGCTTTAAAAAAAAAAAAAACCAATACAGATTCCTTACCTTTTCTTACCTTCCAAAGGTGAATATCATATTTCCCAATAATGCAGGTGTTACTGTCTAAGAAATAATCTCTTCAATAGAAGGTCTCAACCTTCACTACATAGAATGACCCAGAGTCCTTTAAAAAATCAGAAATCTAGACAATATACCCCAGACCAGCGGAGTCAGAATCTCTGGGAGTGGGACTCGAACATCAGTATGTGCCGAAGGTTCTCAGGTGATTCTGATGTGTAGCCCCAGTTACAATCTACCGTTCTGTGGAAACGCCAAATGTGTTCCCTATCCCTCAACAAGCTGTGTAAACAGATTTTCAAACACATACAGAATTCAGACTCCTAAAGAATATTAGAGGTTCTGAAAAAGGAGAACCATGATGTGACTGACTTCTCTAAACTTAAAAATCCCCACTAATATAAGAAAAGGACATCAAAGACTAATTTCAGTCACTGCATCTCTAAAACTATTTGGTTTAACTTAATGCCTCTTCAAGGACCCAGGCTTCACATAAAAATCCTAATACTCAAAGAATGCTCTAAGACCTAATAAATAAAAAAAAATAATAATAAGGTGCCAGTCATTTGTTCTTTCTCCAACAATCACATGCCTTCCATGTTCACACATGAGTGACAGCCACTGACTAACAACTTACTAAGTGAGTTATTAAAGATACTATAGAGAAGTCTACCTCAGGACTAAGTAAGTAGTCAGCAAAAACTAACTGTTGCCAATGTACTGTCTACAGACAGGCACAGGCGTCACCAGTGCTGGATAACAAAGGCACGTGGGCACCATTTTGAGTTAGTCAGTTTTCTGTAGCTGGTATTCCTGCTCTCTAATGACCAACTGTTAGTTTACCTTTACAATCATCAATTTCATTTGCTATCTGTCTGGCAAAGCCTAGGTATATAGTACTTTCTATGGTATCTGGTCAATTTCCAATAACTAGAAATTGGCATGTTATACACTGCATCTCAAATATGAAACAGTAAATAAATCAGAATTAAGTTTGCCTAGAAGACAGCATTTCTTTGGTGAATTTTTACTATTTAAGTCATTTCTGACATACTGTTAAGGTAAATGCATCCACGTACTTATTTTTAAGCTAGTGGGGCACAGTGTTTTGTGTACATATTCAAATACCTATGAAGTTAATAATGGGCGCTTCCCTTCAACATCTCACCAAGATCTTTTTTTTCCATTACAAATAAGCTGAAAGGGTATAGCAGGGTGAATTGAGTAGCCTTGGCCTGTTTACGTGAATCCAAATTTTAAGTTTGAGAACCACTGTCTTAAAACCCTGGTTAGGTATATGTACTTACTTTCATTTTAAGAGAAACTCCAGCTTAAATATAACTCCTTTACCACCATAAAAATTTGGGAAGGAAGAGGTTGTCACCAACTTGTAAAAAATCAGAATGAGATCACCTATTGAAACAATCACAACCAAAACCTAATGTCATCTGCGCTCCTTCAGAAGGTGATTCTCGGTGCTACTAGGGTAGTCACAATGCTCTTTCAAGGGCATCTCAAAAATGAGGTCATGCCACGAACATCTAACCAATACATATTTATGCACATACTTTTTTTTAACATATTCATACTTGGCTGGCAGCATTTAAGAAGCCACAGCTATTATTACTTACTAGCTGACGTCTATTTCTTTTCCAGGTTTCTGCTTTCCTTTTGGAATTCATGTTCTGGAAAGCTGAAGAGAAAAAAAACAAGTGCTAATCAAAGTCCAGAGACAAATATTTTACTACCTCTGTCAGGCCCTGGTTCCAGCCACATGGGACCCTGCTGTCCTGCTTTTCAGCCAATGCATTAATAACTCTGAATAACACATTTCCCAGAAATTCCGTCAGTCCAAACCAGAGGCTCTAAAGCATTAACTTGAACTAAACATGAGACTTATAAACAGCATTTTCATGTAGATCACGTGGACACAGACCGGCTTTAATCAGAATTACAGGAAATCCAGTCTGGTCAGAAGCAGAGGCCTCAAAGAGGACAAAAACATGCACAATTCCTAAAAAATTATCATTAAACTTCTAAGTGTAGGAACTAGCATAGAATTAGAGGCTTCTAAAATTATAATAGGTTATTTAACATAAGCTTCCCTAGAAGAACTTTAGTTTTACTATAGAGTTTCAATGGTTTGTCAATGCCCAAGAAAAAAGAATCTTTCGAAATAGAACAAATTTCTTTCTGCCATGACAGAAAGCAACACCTTGGATGATCTAACCTGAATCTAATACTGTTCCTTGTCTGCCCCATTTTTACCTCCAGTGACCTATGTAGAGCTCCAAAGACAGCCCTTTTTGACAGCTGCCTAAACTTGTTAGCACTCATCCTGCTTCACAATACAAATCATGGTAAACCTGGGAAGATTATTTTTATTCTCGAAAGATGCAGGCTATCTGAATCTAATCTGTTCTGCATATTTTAGCTACTACAAGAATGGCTCTTCTGGGTCCAGTTAAGAGACAAAAAGTTTAACCCACTGTGAACACTTACTGAAGTCACTGGGGAGGCTGTGGTTCAGATTCCTGTAAAATTCTGTCCTATGTGCTTTTTTCAGTCCTGTGCAAAGGCCAAAGTCGGAAAGTTTCACATGGCCCTATAGGGAAGAGAAACAAGGTTAACGGATGGATGAACATTCACAGATGTGGAGCAGGATAGTATCTTCTCTAGTGCCTTGTACTATCTATTACAATTCCACAACTAAAATATGATGCCACCTTTTATTACAGAGAAAGATATAACAGCAAATAAATCTGTGAAAGATAACCAGACATCTATTATACTAGTAAGTATTTCCATTCTTACATATTACCTTTGTTTCATCCAAATAATAAGTTTATAAACACAGCATCCCTCCAGCATCTGGAGTCAATTTTACCACTTCTTTAACTCAAACAAGTATGCCTCTGTATTTCTGGGAGGTCTTCAAAGTCACCACCTTTTTAAGATTTATTTATTTATGCATACAGAACTGGAGGACAGGCCAGAGGTACAGGGACAGTGAGAGGATTCACCAGAGACAGAGTGGGGAGCAGATCAGGGAGATCGATGAAGCACACTGCTGGCAGGTCAGGAGAGGTCTGCGCACCATGTGGGTCACCTACGGGGCCCGGGGACTGACCTCGCACTGAAGCAGCTGCGGCCAGCTTGCAGTGCTACGCCCTAACCCACTGTGCCACCAGGGCGGGCCTCCAAAAGACCACTTTTAAAGTCTGTATTCAAGTGACTTAGTTCATGTTTGTTTGCCTAGTCATTCCTTAACACTGAATATTTACTCTACTTCCAATTCTCCACTCTCATCTGATGAGAACTGTGAGTGTTCTGTGACAGAGAGGGTCCATGTTCCCTATCTAACCATGCAGGGTACAAAGGATGGTCTTACAGCTAGCTGTTTGCTAAATGAAGAGAAAATGAAAAACTGTTTTCATACGGATTTTCATACAGATTTTTCATTAGCATAAATTCCAAGAAATAAACTTTTCCAAGGCAAATTTGATAGACATTATTACATAGTTCTTAGCAAAGGCTGCTATACTGTAGCCCAATTGTATGTCTATGACTTTATCATTCTCTTCAAAGATGTACACCTCCTGGGAACCAGGCACCAAAGCTTTAAATGTGTTGTGCCATCTGCAACTCTTAAGCCTCAAAGAGTGATAAATGGCTTGTTGGCAACCCAAGTCGACTTCCCTGCAGATCAGAATCTAGAAATGGGGATGATGATATCTTCCTGGGAGGAATGATGAGAACGAATGCAAGGAAGTGTCCTAAAACGGTGCCTGGCATATAATTAGCCCTAAGGAAGAGAAAGCTGTTCTTGGGGTGGTAAAATTTTAAGTACATAAGGAAGCAAAACCCCAAATCCTGATTCTCAGGGGTCTACTCTGTTAAAGGTCACACAGTAAGATGAGCCGTGTTGCCAAAGTCTGAGCCCCAGTGACCCCCAACTATCTTCCCATGACACCATCACCTTCTTTCAGGACAACCTCAGGCCTTAAGATACAAAATTCCTAGGGCACGAGGTAAAACAGGGTACATTCCTATTCAGAAGGGTTGGGTTTTATCGTTTGTTTTTAAAGAACTCACATTAGGTTCAGCCATGTACAAATGTGTTTACCAAGATTAAATTGTCAAATAAGGAGGCTAAATACTTTGAGGCTGAGAACCTGGTATCTTTGTTTTCAGATTTGCAAATAATTTGTTCTACTAGTCAAGGGACAGAATTTAATTTATAGTTCTTTTAACCCCCAGTTTTATCTGGATACCTCTGAGAAAGAAGTATGCTTTAAAAAACAGTAGAGAGAATGCTAGCAAGCCCAGATTTTCAGGGAATTCTACTGCCTCTGAGTGAATTCTACTGCCACTGAGAGCAGGAACTTTTTCTGTATGGCTAAACACATAAATGAGCTCAGTTGTAAGAACATTTTTCCACAAGTTGGGGCTGGCATATTGTAGAAAGGAAATCTACAGGGTTTCCTGCTCCTCCCCAGCTAGACTGAACACTCAAGTTCTTGGCCTTTTAGATGTTTGCTGAACCAGACCACAGACTACAGGTCACAAGTAAGTACCCTGGGGTTCAGGTCAAGGGCGTCTGAACTGAAAATCACACAAAATAGGGCCAGTGCTGTATCAAAAAATTGTACCTGAACATACTCTCATTCAAATTATTTTAAAAACAGAATACTGAGCTGTTTTAAGATACCAACTATAAATTTTTTACACAAACAAAAAAGGTACTGAAGCTGTAACACCAAAATAGTGGTTATCTTTGGGAGATGAGATTATAAGTATTCTGTATTACAAGTATTCTGATACTCTGTATTGTTCAAATTTTCTACTATGAATATACATTATTTAAATAAACTATTAACTGAAAAAGACATTATCTGACAACTCTCCCACCCAAGTAGACCAAAGCTTCAGGTTTTTCAGATAGAAAAAAACAGTTATCAAAGTAAGACAAGAAGGAAAAGTATCCTAGGAATTAAATTTACTATTCTAGTAAAAAGAAAAATTCAATCAAAACAACAATTCTGTGTAAAAGAAAATAACTCCTAGAATTTTATAACTGGGAGAGACTTAAGGGCTTGTCTGGCTCAATATATTTATCTTATAGCTAAGAAAAGTGAAATCTGTGAGCGATTTGCCAAGGGGTGTCCTCTGGCAGAGGAGAATCCAAGAGCGCAGGGATTCTCTTCCGGTTTGTTGGAAGCTTAAGAACCAAACAATAAAGCTCATTCAAATGTCAACAGATAAATATAAAGAGGCCATAGCAGGGCTGAGCAAGACTCTTCCTTAAGCAGAAGGAAAATGATTTGGAACCTGAACTTTGTAACCGATTTGGTCTTTTGTCTTACTTCCTGGTTCCTGCCTGGATTCTCCTTAACTGATGAGGTTGCCCAACAGAGAGGTTCTCAATATGTATGCATAGGTATAGTTAATTATGTGCCAGCAGGAGAGGACTACCTTTTAGCTTTATTAAAAATAACCAGTCTAATCCACTTTACTCTTATTCATTTCTTTTAAAGATTTATTTATTTCTGCATACAAGAACTGGGGTACAGGCCAGAGATGCAGAGGATTCACCAGAGACAGAGTGGGGAGCGGAACAAGCAGACTGAGATACTCTGCTAAGGGGAGCAGTGGGGAAGACATGAAAGGTCTGCCACACAGTTGGGTCAGCACCTGGCCGGGGATTAAACTTGGTGCTGCAGTTACTTCAGACAGCTTCACAGTGCTGTGCTTTAAGCCCTTGTCACCACAGAGGACCCCTTAATCATTTTTAAATGTCCTTTATTTTAAAAAATGTTCAATTAAATTATAGAATCATAAGTCTTTCAGGAAAGGAAGTAACAACGAACTTACCTGTAAAAAAAAAAAGAGAGAGAGAGAAAAATATATACAAGTTCAGAGCTCCACAATTCCCTTACTATGACCACAACAAATGGCACAGGTGTCAAAGCAGAAGCTGCTCAGATTGGTAAATTCACACTCATCATGCCCCCCATAGTACCTTGCTGTCCAGGAGAAGGTTGTCTGGCTTAATATCCCTGTGGATGAATCCAAGTTGGTGAATGGAATCTATGGCCAATACTGTTTCTGCTATATAAAACTGAGTCTCCTCTTCTGTCAGGGTGTCTTTTTTCATCAATAGAGTCATCATGTCCCCTGGAACGAGAAGATACAAAGCAGCGACCACACACGCACACATACACACACACGCACACACATACACACACACACACAACCAATAATACATGAGTAAGTACCAGTTTTCAGAGACAGCATCCCTATCTGCCAACATCAGGTAATGCTTAACAGACCTCAGCTGTATTCCAGAGACTGACCCACACTGCTAACTGGGGCGGAAATGGTAAACAGCTTCTACCACTTAAAAGATAAAATTTACAGCATGGAGAACAAAGATATTTCACCTAAGTTAACTGATTCTGGTCACTAAGCTTTGGAGAGAGAGACATTCTCTCACAATGAAAGCAAATCTGTTTTGGGGGTGGGGGGAGAGGGCGCAGAAAGGTATTTTACATTTCACTTTGCACAAATATCTGCAAAGTGACCTTTCCACACAGCTTATACCACCATTATGACAGGGAGGCTGAAATGACAAACACAAACATAAATGCTCTGGGAGGCTGAAAATAAGTTCTCTAATTTCTATTCACTAAAACATACAACATAAACAAATAAAAAGGCAGGATTAAAGTAGCAAAGTGTTAGTCAACAAAAGCTAAAAAGGAATTGAAGATACAATGTGCTAGAAGTATAATAGCTACATCCCAAAGTACACACTGAATACCTCTCAAAACCAGTGGGGTTTTTCCCTCCAGGGTTTTACTATAGGTGTTTAAGTATACACCAATATGCTTTATGGGACTTTTACAACATAGAATCAGTATGTTAGCAGTTAAGCAGTAACTGCCTTAGTTCTCTGCAAATTCACAATTTAATTAATAATTAATTAATTATTAATACTAACAACGTAAAATGGCAATATATATATATATGTATATATATATCTGACCCCCTAACTCAACAGTTAAGACAAAAGCAAAGAAAATGGGTGTAAGTAGTTCAAAGCTAAGAGAAACAGAAAAGATTCAGTACAGAACTCATATAAAGCCACTTCAGTTGGAAAACAGGAAAAAGATAAAAAGAAACCTCTAATTTTCATAAAGCATCATGTTGCTTTTTAAATTTTACTTCATTTACAACTTTGGGAAAACTATTATATTCTTGAAGAAAAGCAGGTAGCTTACCCTCAGGCAAAAATTAAACCATTTGAAATGTTTTATTTTTGACCCAAGAACTGAGTTATATGATCAAATCTCCTGACAGCCACACCACAGATGTGGGGGCAGCACACGCAGGCCAGCTCCAAGGTAGATGTGTGGCCTGAACTCTGTGGCCCAGGAGAGCAGCCAGTGGCCTCACCTGTGTGAGCTTGCCCAGATGATCAGAGAGCTCAGGCCAGATGGTCTATGGTTCTGCAGGCCAGCTCCACCAATGCAAAGGGCAGGGTCCAGGAGACATGAGAAGCTAGGGAAGATGGCGCAGGTAAGGCTTAAGGAGACACACGTCAAGGGGCTGGTAGCTGAGCTGGTTCTTACGCCTATTTAAGAATCGGTATCTGAATGTTAAAAAGTTTTTCTTCATTCTACCAGACAGACTCTTTTCTAACTTTCATTAATTAAAAAGTTATTGATGACCCTAGAACTAAAGGTTGTCACAAGATCAAAATATTATGGCACAATGAATTATATTTGCCTTACTATAAAAGCAAAAAAGGAAGTGTTTTTTATTTCTCCCAGCAGTGTGCCCTTCATTCATATGCTCACAGGGAAGCGGACTGTGTTCTCCAAAGCGGAGGGCATTTTCTGTTCTGGGATTATGTTGGAGCTGTCTTAGGAGATGTGCATGCTGAGTTATATAAAACCAGGTATCTCAGAAACAAGAAATTGATTCTGACTACTAATAGAAGTAATGAGAAAGTCACTGTATTAACATCAGTTAAAGAAACAAAACGTTGAAGCAAAGAATGTTATAGCTTCAAATTTGTCACCTGGGTAACTGATTATACATAATTTCCATTGACAGGAGAGCAGGCAGAGACCCTAGTTTATTCCTAAGTACTTAAAAAGAAAAGGAAAAAGAAAAGGAAGAGATGTCAGTCTAAAATCATGACAATGAGTGAGAAGGTTACTTTATAGCACTAAGAATTGCAGAAAGGCACCCAAGCACAAGGTTACTGACCTCCTTTATAGACCTAAAAAAAGATACAGAAAGCAACTTTGTGAGCACAATTAAAAGTAGAAGGAAGGGTTAATTGATGTGAGAGAAACCACAGAACAAAAAAAAGAAAAAGAACCTTTCATCGTCAAGTAATTACCTCCAGGCAGGAACTCCATGATTAGGTAGAGGTTTAGCTTATCCTGAAAACTATAGAACATTTTCACAACCCACAAACTGTCTGCCTCCACTAGAATGTCACGCTCCGCACGAATGTGGCCAACCTGGAGGTATATGCATTTGATTAATGACAAGCTTTCTCTGCTTTATTAGATTATGTATATCTGTTTAAACAATTTAAATACTGTTTTGAGTATTAAATTGTAATGATGCAAACGATCTAATTTATGCTTAGGCAAACCTACTAATTCAAAATTGACAACATTTGACTTGAAGGTATTCGGTGATGAAAACTTGAGTGATGAAAGGCTTTAAAAATGGCAAAATGAAAGGATTTAATGCAAACAGCAACTTGAACTGCGTTATCAACTGAAACACTGATTAATTAAAATTACCATTGTTTTGCATCTTTTTGTTCCAATCATCCTGTAGAGAGCCCCAAGATGAGGCTCTCTACACAGTCCTGTCTCAGGTTTGCATTGGTACCTGAGTGACAATGTCCTGGTTAAAATTCTAGAACATAATGTCACAGCATTTAGTCACTGCTGTGCACAAAGTAACTGCTCAATCAATTCTTCCAGAACTGAAATATAAAAATACTAAGAAAAGGTACAGATTCAAATTTATGAATTTCCAACGTTCTACTTTTATTAAAATAGCTAAGGGGACTAAGTTGCCTTAAAAGTTTGGGAGAACAGGTAAAATTACTTCAGTAAAATAATGTTTATCAAATTTACCTTATTTACTTCAAATATATTCACAGTAATCAAAACATGGCTACGTACTATCAAATCCTGTCCCTTTCATCTTTCATAAGCCCCAGCTCAAGTCATTAATAGGAGTCTTGATCTCAACATGCTACTGGGCACATAATAAGCTGAAGGGCCAGAGGCGCCAAGGCTCATGAGCTGGCACTTCTCTGGGCAAACTCAGTCTCTGCTGTTCTGTTTGACACGATGTTCTGCATGCTTTTTGTTTTACTGGATTGTCTTCAACAGAGCCAGGCAGGCTCCCTTCCATTCGGACATAGAGCCCACCCTTCTTTCCTATCTTACATGTTCTCAGTTTTCTATGCTAACTCCCGGGGGGGGGCGGGTCTGAAGAATTTGAGTTTACATCCTTAGCCAGTCCCTGCAAAAAACTGTTAATAGCTTCTTTGGGGAAAAATGTAATAGCTTCACTGTTGCGGAAAACTTGCATTTTTACAATGCTACTTAAGATATGAGGGTGAGGAAGATGGAAGATATGGGTGATACAAGGAATAGTGTAATGAAATCATGAAGAAGCCAAGTAAGTAAAGCATCTATCTTTACTCAGCCTTAATACAAAAGCAAAGCTTTTGGGAAACAGCTGTGTCACTTGCTGAACTATAGCAAGTGTCCTTATCAGACACTAACTGGACAAAGCAGTCTCAGCTGCCTCTGCTTCCCCTGGCTCCCGCTAAGGCCTTTGCCTGCTTCAGGAAGCCCAATAAAGGGGAGGCATCATGTTAACGTTTGTCACTCACCTTGAAAGACAGCATAGTGACTGCAACGTTTCCCATTTGTCAAATGGAAAGCTACAGTCTCTATGAATACACCTTGCCCTTCTCTCCTGGGACTGAAACAGCAGTTAGGAATCCTGAGATCTAGGCGTGGAGTCAGGTGAATAAAGGGCAGGGGAAGGAAGAGCCAGAGGGGAACTTACACCGAAGTCTCCCTTGTCCTTGTTCCATTAATATTTAATGGGGTGGGGATCACATGCCTGCTGCTATCCTAACCATTAGAAGAGAAGCAACAAAAGTCAGTCTTTTGTCCCATCCTGACACTATGCTTGCATCCCAACTGAAGGTCTTCCTTTTGCGTGGAAGCAAAAGACTCAATGCTGTTCTTTTATCTCTTAAAACTTATTTTCCAGGTAGCAGAAATGTCCATGTTACAGGACAGAAGAACAACCTAAACTTCCAGTGGGTGGTTTTAATTCCTCCCCAGTTTAATAAAGGCCAACATAACAACTTCCCCTCTGAATAAGGTAACTATACTACAAAAAAGTTAAGATTCCGATTCTAAATTTTTTTAGTCCTCCAAAAATGAAGAATTTGCACTGATCTACTCCACTCACCCAGCACAAGCGTTTTGCATACTTCTTCAAGATGGCCAGTCCAGTGGGAATCTGTGGCCAGAAACTTTCACTGAAGCCAAGTGAGGTCAAAACTAGGAGCTGAGTCATCAGTCATCAGCATACTAAGTCAGTGTGCCATCTAAAACTCTAACTTCCACAGACATTTCCTTTCCTTTTCGTACAAAAAAAAATTATAATTGATTTTGAAGAAGCTACACTATCTAAGAGAATGCCCTCTGTTATCATGCTGAGCGACAGACATATGCTACAAAGGACTAATACCTTTGAAAATCGTGGGTCCTTCTCTGGAAAATTTTACTCTGAATGATCATTATTTAATAGACAGATTCTGAGTCTTGGGTAAAGCTAAAAGATGTATGTCTTGTAAAAATAAGACATATTTGTGAAATACAAAGTATACTGACTAGTCAGTACAACTTTATATTTTCTCAAAATTAATTGAAACTCTTTTGGTGCTTATACCCCCAAACCACACACTAATTTTTAGAAGCTACATAAATAAGACAGCTGTGCATGTTTAATAATGTCAGTACTGGTATAAACTGCAGAGCCTGCAGTGCCAAGGTGCTTGTAAGTTACTCTCATCACAAAATTTCTGGGAGCCTAAAGTTACATGATAATTAAGGAGAAAATTAAAATTCAAAATTCTGAGGTGGCTTCCGTGACTATACCTGAGTTAGAAAGGACTAGGTCTGGATACAGATCCAGCCTGCTCTTGGGCTCGGGCCTCACATGGGAATATGGGATCTCTCTTTGTCCTGCAGCATCTGACCTCCTATAGGGTATATGCAGTCATCACTAACTACAATCTGTTCTTCAGCAACCAGCTCAACTAAACTAGATTCACAGAAAGTCTGCATTTGTGTTTTTAAAACCCTGTCCCATATCTTAAATCGTACTTATTTTGCATAAAGTACTTATGTGTCTTATAAATCTATTTGCAAAGTAGTTTAGGTTTTAGAAAGTTTTCTTAAACACTGAAGGAGAATCTGCATTATATTTTTTTCAAATACATTTAGAAATTGGATTTGAAATCCAGTCTCATCAGGTAGTAATGAGTTTCTCAGAAGACCCAACTTTGGCGTAAGTGTACAAAATGAAGTTTATTAAGACACATTTTAAATTCCAAATTCTGATCCCTAGGCCTCAGTTCCAAGGTGCAGATACAATTTATGTCTCTCAGCATTCAAGAAGTGAATGTGCTACTACAGCAAATATGATCTCAAAAAAGGGCTCCTCCTGACAAAGATCTTTTAGGGTCAACTGGGGAACACAAATAGCAGGCGCAACTCTACTCGGTTTTCAATTTTAATGACTGCACATAATACACAAGTATTACTGATACTTTTACAATATATGTAACTCCTTTTATGGTTAAAGAAAATATTATCTGTATATATGACAAAACAAAGACAATAATAAGAATACGTGTTTTAATTAAACAGAAAGATCGTTTTAGGAGACAAAAAAGCACCACTACTATGGGGCTTTACCTGCTCTTTCTCAAGCATATCTGCTTTACGGAGTATTTTCATTGCATACACATGCCCTGTGTCTTTCTTCTGTACCAGCCGTACCTAAAAGTTATAAAAGAAGTACCAAGTCAAGAGTTCTCAGTGCCAAACTAATGCTTTCACATACTGTAGGAAATAATAATTATACTGAAAATGTATTAGATTTTAATATAAGCAACTAGCAATAAGGGAACAGAAGAAAATGTTTTCATTATTCCAAAATGGATACACTACACAGAGTCAAGTCAGCTCAGGGGACAGCCTCAAATATTTCCAACTCTGAATAACTCTGGTTCCCTAGTAAAGCAAATCCATCTCATTTAAAACCCCCACTTTTGAACCTGAAGACTCATTAAATCCTTGGCATATGTCACCCAACCTGTTTAGAAAACCTGTAGATGATAACAACATTTAAAACCATTGGTTGAAAGCTCATGATATAGGGAAAATGTCTGAAAGGAGAAAAACCCAAAATGTACCAATGAGGGAAATGGGATTCTATAGTTGTTGTTGGTTTTTTTTTGATTTTTCAATGTTTTTAAAAAGAGAGAATTTTGTGATGAAAAGAAAACTGATGGCCTACAAGTCTAAAGAAAAACTTCTTATCAACCACCTACACCCCCTCCTCCTCTTGAACAAATGCCCCTTCTCACTGCACCTTTACTCCTGTTTTTCCTGACCGAGTCCCATCCCCTTCCTTACTGATACAAAGCTCTTTGCTGTAGCTTTCCCGCCCTATTGGTCAACAGGGATTCTGAACTTAGGGATCAATTCAATCTATCACCTCTAACTACATACCATCACCTCCCCGAGGTACCGGTTCTTGATAACATGCAGCTCCTTTTATACAAAGATAATAAAATGATTCTGTCTTCCACTTCGATTTTTTCCATTAACAGGGATGACTTTGCATACAAGCCTTCCCCAACAGACCTGCATGACTAACTGGGCCAAAGTTCTAAACGCTGTCAGAACTCTACTGTTCATTTCCATACATTTCTAAAGTTCTTTACCTTGTTCCCTTAGGCCCATCTTTTTCAAGCTTTTGAGCCAACCTGACAAGATGAAATAAAGGATGGAGACACACTGCCAGCTTGCTTCTGAAAGGCAGTGGGGAAAGTCAGACCAACGTCGACTTCTGGCACCGCTGCTCAATGGCTGCATGACAGTGAACATTACACACTCGCTAGTCTAGTTTCATCGCCTATAAAATGAGTTACACTCCTAATAATAAGAAAGAAAAATCTGAATAATAAGTACTGATTTCTTTCTCTATTTCAACTCTCCCTCCAGATCAAAAACTTAAAGCATAAACTTGGTCGCTGGCAAAACAGAGACCAATCAGAGCTCTGGGATTACGCAGAGGGAAGAGAGGAGGCCAGAGAAGACAGGGGGGACAGTCAAGATACAGAGCTAGCACACAACTGTCCCATATTTCAGTTCTATCAACTATCATGAGTTCATGGTATGTTTGAAGCTTTAAAGGTCTGTGGTACTTTTGTATTTAATAAGTAGAATTTACCTCACCAAATGCTCCTCTGCCTATTACTTTCAAGGACTCAAAATCTTCCAATCCAAGTCTTGTTCTCTTCAAACGGAGAAATTCTGTTTCCTTCCGAGCATGTGCTGATCGCCTGAGTCGTTTCTAATGTTTAAATAAAAGGAGAGGGGTTAAAAAAGGGAGGGGCTGAAATCCTGTAACTCTGCAACCAAGTTGGATTTGTGATTCCACCCATCTGGTAAGTAGGGCCACACCACACTAATCTTTCCACACATTAAATCACCACAGAAGAACCCTTAAAAGTTGCTTCTTCCTTTCTCTGCCTTTAGATGCAATAAACAAATCAGACGGAACAGATGGAGGGATACCTCCTCTGAGGATAATTAACCTACCTCAACAATCCCAGATTCTAGCTTTCCTAATGAAGGAAAGACAACTAACATTTCCCTTTAATCTTTTTTATATAAAATTAAAATGTTTTTTTAATTTCCCTCTGGGCTTTTTACACAATGCAGTTCATTTTATGCTCAGTTCTTATACTCCAGTATTCTAATATTCCTGGAAGTCCTAGGTGGTTTTCACCATTTTCCTGGGTGCTATTATTCATTTCTATTTTTGAAGTGTTCCACTACCATTTCAGTTCCTTACACAGCTCCTTCTTAACTCTATTTTTCTCCTACCACATCTGTGGGCATAGGGGGGGTGAGGGTGAGGGGGTTTAGGGGGGCTAACTTGAGAGGTAATTTGCCTTGATAATGAATTCAGAAATTTGCCCGTTGCTAAGGAGATCTTTCAGTGAGATCTATACGTTATTATTGGCTTTTTAAAGATCTTCATTTGATTTCAACCCTTCCTTTTCTTAGAATTCTAAATCCAATTAATTATAATTGTGCCTAGAAAATTCTTCTTCTCCCTTGTGGTACTCTTCTCCTTCTGAAACACCTAAATCCAGAAGTGTTCCAATCCCCATAAGCTTCTGCTGGGCCAAACCCGTCCCCTACGCACCAAGGCTAACACTTACTACACAAGGCATCATCTTCCATACTAATTTCAAGGGAGAAAAAAAGCACAGTATTACCTCTTCATCTTTTAGGCCTTCTTCTTCCATCACTTTTTCTAATTTCTTTTGTCTAGAAATAAAGCATGTGGAATTAACATTTGAATAACTTTCTGGAACATCTATACAAACTTTTTCAAAAAGAATTATTCCGGCCCTCCCTGGTGGTGCAGCAGGTTAAAGCACAGCACTGAGAAGCTAAAGCCACTTCCGCATGAGTTCGATCCCCACCTGCCCCGGAGGTGACCACATGGCGTGGCAGACCTCTCCTGACCTGCCTGCTGCTCCCCTCAGCAGTGTACTTTGTCGATCTCCCTGTTCTGCTCCCCACTCTGTCTCTAGTGAAGTCTCTCGCCGCCCCTGAGCCTCTGGCCTGTACCCCAGTTCTGTATGCCCAAATAAATAAATCTTTAAAAAAATAATAATTATTCCTTTGTTCTAAGATTTTTAATAGTTTTTGCATGTAAGAAACAAAGTGTAGCTCCCTGGCCAGGGATGAAACTCAGGCCACTTTGTCATGGGAGGTTCTTCATGGTGATGGCACTGAGACTTAACACCTACGCCACTAGGGAGGCCCTATAGAAACAGTTTTTTAATGATAAACAGACAAAACTCAAAGTGCATAATTAAAGTCAAAAAATACAATTACCAAGATATGTGAAAAGATTCCCACCCTTTGTTACTTCTACATTTTGAAAAGATTGTATAAGATATGACTGCAACAAAGGATCTTATTTTGAAATGACAAGTTCTTTCTTATGGGGGGGAGGGGTATCGGTATTTCCTCCTTAACAGACCACAAAACAGTCAGGGTTTGATAACCTATTATATCAGGGTGTTTCTCTCCTCTCCTTTACTGAACCCTACTTCCTTTATTTTCAACTCTTCCTCTTCCTCCTGCCATAAGCAAAAAGCAAAAAGCAACAAAGGTAAAGGCAGAATTTGGAAATTCAAGGGGCGGAGAGGGTGTGGTAACGATCAGAAGGTGAGAGTGGCACTACTGTCACAACTTAAGGCACTAAATACTCAAGAGTACTTAACTTGAGAAACCACATCCGTGCATAATATAACCTCCAGTCTCATGCTGACTGAATAAAACTAAACAAGTAAAACTTCTTATGGTCAATTCCACACAACCTTTATTTATTCAAAATAAAATACTGAAAGTGCATGGTCTGGAATCCCCCCTTCATCACTTAGCAACAACTGTCAGGCAAGGCAAGCAGCTCGGAGCAGATTAAAAGCTGGGGTGCAAGAAGTAATACTTGGAACCTGTGTGGCTGAGGCACACAGTGCTTCAAATGCCACACTACGAGAAGATGGGCTCTTAGTCTGTCCCAGACAGAGGGTGTGCGCAGGAGTGGTGTGGACGGGCAGCTGAAGGACTGGCGAGGCAAGTCATTAACAAAGACTGGCGAAGTGAAAGTTACTGCAGTGATTCAGGTGTGCAGTAAAGATCTGGAGCAAAAGCTGGAAAATTCGGGTGAAGTAAACTGTTACTGCTACTGAACAACCAGCAGGAGTCAAAGGAAAAGTCCCATAATTTCTTGTGCTGGAGGATAATGATGCCACTCACCAAAATGTGAAACACAGAGAGGAACATGGGAAGATATGTGTCTAAATTCTCAGGAAATGGAAAGACCTACT